CAGAAATAAAAGGTGAATTGGCAGAACTTAAAAATGCTATCAATGAGATCCAATCCAATCTAGATAATCTAACAGCTAGGGTAACTGAGGCAGAAGAGCGAATAAGCGACCTGGAAGACAATATAATAGATAAAAAGGGAAAAGAGGAGGCCAGGGAAAAACAACTCAGAATCCATGAAAATAGAATCAGAGAAATAAGTGACACCATGAAGCATTCCAATGTCAGAATAATTGGATCCTGGAGGGAGTGGAGAGAGAGAGAGAGGACTAGAAGATGTATTTGAGCAAATCATAGCTGAGAACTTCCCTAATTTGGGGAATGAAACAAACATTCGAGTCCTAGAGGCAGAGAGGACCCCTCCTAAGATCAAGGAAAACAGGCCAACACCCCGGCATGTAATAGTAGAACTTGCAAATCTTAGAACCAAGGAAACCATCTTAAGGGCAGTTAGGGGGAAGAGATTCCTTACGTACAGAGGGAGAAACATCAGAATAACGTTAGAGCTATCCACAGAGACCTGGCAAGCCAGAAAGGCCTGGCAAGACATATTCAGGGTCCTAAATGAGAAGAACATGCAGCCAAGAATACTTTATCCAGCAAGGCTTTCATTTAGGATGGATGGAGAGATGCAGAGCTTCCACGACTGGCAGAAACTGAAAGAATATGTGACCACTAAGCCGGCCCTGCAAGAAATATTAAGGGGGGTTCTATAAAAGGAGAAAGACCCCAAGAGTGATCTACAACAGAAATTTACAGGGACAATCTATAAAAACAACGTCTTCACAGGCAACATGATGACAATTAATTCATATCTTGCAATAATCACTCTCAACGTGAATGGCCTAAATGCTCCCATAAAACGGCACAGGGTTGCAGATTGGGTAAAAAGACAGGACCCATCCATATGCTGTCTACAAGAGACTTATTTTGAACCTAAAGATGCATCCAGACTGAAAGTGAAGGGATGGAGATCCATCTTCCATGCCAGTGGACCTCAAAAGAAAGCTGGGGTAGCAATTCTTATATCAGACAAATTAGGTTTTAAACTAAAGTCTGTAATAGGAGACACAGAAGGACACTATATCATTCTTAAAGGGTCTATCCAACAAGAAGATCTAAGAATTGTAAATATCTATGCCTCCAACATGGGAGCAGCCATCTACATAAGCCAACTGTTAACCAAAATAAAGAGTCATATTGGTAACAATACGTTAATTGTAGGAGACCTCAATACCCCACTCTCAGCAATGGACAGATCATCTAAGCAGAAAATCAACAAGGAAACAAGAGCTTTGAATGACATTGGACCAGATGGACCTCATAGATATTTACAGAACATTCCACCCTAAAACAACAGAATACTCATTCTTCTCGAGTGCACATGGAACTTTCTCCAGAATAGACCATATACTGGGTCACAAATCAGGTCTCAACCGATACCAAAAGACTGAGATTTTCCCTGCATATTCTCAGACCACAATGCTCTAAAACTGGAACTCAATCACAAGAAAAAATTTGGCAGAAATTCAAACACTTGGAAGCTAAAGACCACTCTGCTCAAGAATGTTTGGGTCAACCAGGAAATCAAAGAAGAACTTAAACAATTCATGGAAATCAATGAGAACGAAAACACATCTGTCCAAAACCTATGGGATACTGCAAAGGCGGTCCTAAGGGGAAATACATAGCCATCTAAGCCTCACTCAAAAAAATAGAAAAATCCCGAATTCACCAAACTAACTCTACACCTTAAAGAACTAGAGAAAAAGCAACAAACAATGCCTAAGCCACGCATTAGAAGAGAAATAATTAAAATTAGAGCAGAAATCAATGAATTAGAAACCAGAAACACAGTAGATCAGATCAACAAAACTAGAAGTTGGTTCTTTGAAAGAATTAATAAGATCGATAAACCACTGGCCAGACTTATCCAAAAGGAAAGAGAAAGGACCCAAATTAATAAAACTATGAATGAAAGGGGAGAGATCACGACTAACACCAAGGAAATAGAAACAATTATTAGAAATTATTATCAACAACTATATGCCAATAAACTGAGCAATCTGGATGAAATGGAGGCCTTCCTGTAAACCTATAAGTTGCCAAGACTGAAACAGGAAGAAATTGACAACCTGAATAGGCCAATAACCAGTAACGAGATTGAAGCAGTGATCAAAAACCTCCCAAAAAACAAGAGTCCAGGGCCTGATGGATTCCCTGGGGAATTCTACCAAACATTCAAAGAAGAAATAATACCTATTCTACTGAAACTGTTTCAAAAAATAGGAACAGAAGGAAAACTTCCAAACTCATTCTGTGAGGCCAGCATTACCTTCATCCCCAAACCAGACAAAGACCCCATCAAAAAGGAGAATTTCAGACCGATATTCCTGATGAATATAAATTCCAAAATCCTCAATAAAATCCTAGCTAATAGGATCCAACAATACATTAAAAGGATCATCCACCACGACCAAGTGGGATTTATCCCCCAGATGCAAGGGTGGTTCAACATTCACAAATCAATCAATGTGATAGAACACATTAATAAGAGGAGGGAGAAGAACCATATGGTCCTCTCAATTGATGCAGAAAAAGCATTTGACAAAATACAACATCCTTTCCTGATTAAAACTCTCCAGAGTATAGGAATAGAGGGAACATTCCTCAAGTTCATAAAATCCATCTATGAAAACCCACAGTGAATATCATCCTCAATGGGGAAAAGCTGAGAGCCTTTCCCTTAAGATCAGGAACACGTCAAGGATGCCCACTCTCGCCACTATTGTTCAACATAGTACTAGAAGTCCTAGCAACAGCAATCAGACAACAAAAAGAAATAAAAGGTATTCAAATTGGCAAAGAAGTCAAGCTCTCTCTTTTCGCAGACGACATGATACTTTATGTGGAAAACCCAAAAGACTCCACCCCCAAATTACTAGAACTCATCCAGCAATTCAGTAATGTGGCAGGATACAAAATCAATGCACAGAAATCAGTTGCTTTCTTATACACTAACAACGCAACTGTAGAAAGAGAAATTAGAGAAACGATTCCATTTACAATAGCACCAAAAACCATAAGATACCTCGGACTAAACCTAACCAAAGAGGTAAAGGATCTATACTCTAGGAACTACAAAACACTCACGAAAGAAATTGAAGAAGACACAAAAAGATGGAAAAATATTCCATGCTCATGGATCGGAAGAATAAACATTGTTAAAATGTCTATGCTACGCAGAACAATCTATACCTTCAATGCCATCCCAATCAAAATTCCAATGACATTTTTCAAAGTGCTGGAACAAACAATCCTAAAATTTGTATGGAATCAGGAAAGACCCGAACTGCCAAGGAAATGTTGAAAAAGAAAAACAAAGCTGGGGGCATCATGTTGCCCCATTTCAAGCTATATTACAAAGCTGTGATCACCAAGACAGCATGGTACTGGCACAAAAACAGACATACAGACCAATGGAACAGAATAGAGAACCCAGATATGGACCCTCAACTCTATGGTCAAATAATCTTTGACAAAGCAGGAAAAAACATGCAATGGAAAAAAGACAGTCTCTTCAATAAATGGTGCTGGGAAAATTGGACAGCCACATGCAGAAGAATGAAACTCGACCATGCTCTAACACCATTCACAAAGATAAACTCAAAGTGGATGAAAGACCTCAATGTGAGACAGGAATCCATCAAAATCCTAGAGGAGAACATAGGCAGTAACCTCTTGACATCGCCCACAGCAACTTCTTTCAAGATACATCTCCAAAAGCTAGTGAAACAAAAGCAAGAATGAACTTTTGGGACTTCATCAAGATAAAAAGCTTCTGCACAGCAAAGGAGGAAACAGTCAACAAAACAAAGAGGCAACCCACAAAATGGGAGAAGATATTTGCAAATGACAGTACAGATAAAGGGCTGGTATCCAAGATCTATAAAGAACTTCTCAAACTCAACAGCCAAAAAACAAATAATCAAGTCAAAAAGTGGGCAGAAGATATGAAAAGACACTTCTCTGAAGAAGACATACAAATGGCTAACAGACACATGAAAAAATGTTCATCATCATTTGCCATCAGGGAAATCCAAATCAAAACCACATTGAGATACCACCTTACACCAGGTAGAATGGCCAAAATGGACAGGGAAAGAAACAACAAATGTTGGAGAGGTTGTGGAGAAAGGGGAACCCTCTTACACTGTTGGTGGGAATGCAAGTTGGTACAGCCACTTTGGAAAACAGTGTGGAGGTTCCTCAAAAATTTAAAGATAGAGCTACCCTATGACCCAGCAATTGCACTACTGGGTATTTACCCCAAAGACACAGATGTAGTGAAAAGAAGGGCCATATGCACCCCAATGTTCATAGCAGCAGTGTCCACAATAGCCAAACTGTGGAAAGAGCCAAGATATGCCCTTCAACAGATGAATGGATAAAGAAGATGTGGTCCATATATACAATGGAATATTACTCAGCCATCAGAAAAGATGAATACCCAACTTTTACATCAACATGGACGGACTGGAGGAGATTATGCTAAGTGAAATAAGTCAAGCAGAGAAAGTCAATTATCATATGGTTTCACTTATTTGTGGAACATAAGGAATAGCATGGAGCACATTAGGAGAAGGAAGGGAAAAATGGCTGGGGGGAGTTGGAGGGAGAGATGAACCATGAGAGACTATGGACTCTGAGAAACAAACAGGGTTTTAGAGGGGAGGGAGGAGGGAGGGATTGGTTAGCCCGGTGTTGGGTATTAAGGAGGGCACGTAGTGCATGGAGCACTGGGTGTTAACACGAAAACAATGGATCGTGGATCACCACATCAAAAACCAGTGATGTATGGTGACTAACATAACATAATAAAATTAAAAAAAAAAAAGTTGAGAACCATCTGTATTTGATACAGTCTGTTTTTCTTGGAAAAATCATTCAAATTTGGAATGAAGCCATAGAGGTGTGGTTTAGTGTATGTGGTTTTGTTTTGTTTTCCTTTATAAGATTTCTTTTGTTTGGGTGCTTGAGCCATAGAAAGAAGAAATTCTTTAAAGAGGCTAATTTTAAAAATTGTGCTCTCCCAACAAGATGGGAAAATGTCTACAGTTTATGGTGCATGCTTCTATTTTTTCAGAGTAGATATCCCCAATCCAACACCCCCCCAATTTGATGTTTTAACAGATTTGCTTTACTGTTTCCAATGAGAGCTAAAAGGAAATTTTTGTATTCTCAAATATGCATTTTAGTTTCTCATCTCTACAAACTTGGAATATTTGAGGTATTAATTTAAAATTTGGAGTTTTGTTTAAAACTTGGAACATGTATTTCATTTCTCATTCCTCCCCCCACCTCAAACTTTGAAATGGAAAAACAAAATGTTATTTATTCAAGGTAACTTTATACATAGCTTTTCAGGGGGAAAAAATCTATTAGGTGATATTAAGTGTATGTAGATTGCCTGTTTCCAAAATGGTTAAGTTATTTACATACATATGTAAAATGTACTATACGTTAAAGTTAGGTACAACAGCCAGTGAATAGATCACTGTTACATCATTTTTTAAAAGTAAGTTCCACTTATGCACATGGGCTTTGAGCAGATTTCAGGCAGTTCCTGAATAAAAATCAAAACTGGCTACCAGTTGCCATTATCAAGGAAGAAAAACAAAAGAAGGAGTTCCATAAGAAAGATGGAAGATCAGCTAAAAAGCAAGTTATGATATTTATAATAGTTCTTCAGGTGGGGGCGGCAAGTATTCACTGTGATCTTGATCCGAATTAGAAGGAATAGAGAACTCCTGACACTGGATCTCACTGTTGGAATCTGCCTGGTTTTTCATGCAGTCTCCTGGTGCCAGGGGCAAGTTAAGTAAGTCAGGTGGAGGTGGAAATCTTTGTTCGAACTCAGAATTGTGATCTTCACAGACTTGATTGAGACAGTCCAGAGATGGTGGGAGATTGGTGGAATCATTTGGAAGAGGAGATAGAATTGTCACTGTGGGTTTGTCACATTGGTTACTCTCCTGTTCTTCCAAATCAAGAAGTGGGGGAGGTGGTGGAAGCAGATCGGCGTCATCTGAAGAAGAAACTGCAGTGCCAATCGTTGATCCACCAGGACTCTCTTCTGATGTACCATTTACTTGATCGTTTATTTTCTCTGTTTTGGGGTTGTTGGAATCTTCAGTGTGTTCATTTGATTCAAATAACTTAATTTCCAAATCATCTGCTAAGAGTGTGCTTTTGTTTGGTTTCCAGGGCATAAGTGAAATAATTGATGTCCGTTTTGTGGGTACTTCATTTTCTCTAATGTTATCCATATATATGTCGGGGGTTTCACCATCAGCAAATGGAGACCTGCCTGCCCAATTCTGATCATTTAAAACTGGTTTTCTCAAACATTTCCATAGTACAATTATGATTATAGATATCAGCAGAGAAGTCAGAATTACGCCAATTAATATGGCAGCTACTGAATTAGAATTGGTTTCATGTGAGATATTTTTGCTACTGGTCGTTTCTAGGATGAATCCTGGAGTAATCCTAGGTGAGCTTCTGACACTTGGTGTTGGTCGTATAGATGGATTATGAACAGTTGGTGATTTTGGTTTTCTAGAAGAGGTATGGACAAATGATGGTTGTTGAGTGGAAGTATAGACAAATGGTGGCAGTTGTTTGGTAGAAGTATGGGTAGATGGTGGTAGTTGTCCAGCAGAAGTAAACATGGGTACTGCTGTTTGTTGGGAGGAGGTGTTGGCCATTGGTATTGGTTGTCTGGTGACGTTATAGGCAAGTGGTTGCCCAGCAGAAGTGTGTGCTGCTGGTTTTTCAGGAGAAGCATAGGCAGCTGGTGGTGTTTGTCCAGCAGCAACTTTGGCAGTTGGTATTGGTTGTACAGGAGAAACATGGTTGAATTGTGTTGGTTGACTCATAGGATTCTCTGTTGTGTTTTGAGAATTAGCTGAGTTATGTGGCCTTGATGATCTAAATAAAGTAGGCTGTGGTTGCTTCTCTGTTGTAATTGTTTCTGTCTCTGAGGAAAATGTATCACTGATGTGTCCACAAAACAAAATTAAGATGAAATATTTGGGATCCATTTCAGAATGTTTCCACTCTACCGGTGGTTTTGTAATGAAGGAAAAAAAGACAGGTATTATTTGGTGTCTGGCAAAGTAGGTAGGTACTTACTAAGTATTGTTTCTAATTTAGACTTGATACACTGTAGTGTAAATAACTCTTGAATATATTCTAACTTAACCATACAACATTTGGACCTCATAGGCAATAGTCTCTCTTAATTCTTTAATAAGATCTGTACTTGGCCCTGCTGCCCCCCTAGCTTCTTCTTCTTTTTTTTTTTTTTTTAAGATTTTATTTATTTGACAGAGAGAGACACAGCAAGAGAGAGAACACAAGCAGGGGGACTGGGAGAGGGAGAAGCAGGCTTCCCGCGGGGCAGGGAGTCTGATGCGGGGCTTGATCCCAGGGTCCTGGGATCATGACCTGAGCCGAAGGCAGACTCTTAACGAATGAGCCACCTAGGCGCCCCCCCACCCCAGCTTCTTTACATTACAATCCATTTTACAGTCATACTTGTGAAATACATAGGCTCTTGATGCTGGTTCCATGTGCTCTCTATTCTTTTCTTCCTTACTATTAGAAATACACTGATCCTGTTGCTTTGAAGGACACCAGTAATCATCTATTACCTAATCCAACAGTCTTGTCTTTATTCTCTCTTTTTTTTCTCCCTCTCTTGATCACATTCGATGCTATTGACTATGCCTTCACTACTATTCAAGTAGCTCTTTGTTATAGTCTTCCTTTCATGTTAATCTCACTAGCTCCAGTTTTTCTCTTCTTAAATATGGGTACTTGATATTCAGTCCTCACTCTTAGCTACTTTTCTCTGATCCTGATTCTATAAAATTTCAGCTCTCACCTGTATGCCATAACTTCCAAACCTGCACATCCAGCCTAAATCTCCTTAATTCCATTCCATTTACATGACTTCTTGGTGGACATTTCCATGTTATATATCCTACTGTCAGCAAATTTAACATATTTAAAACAGAATTCATCTTCATGTCAAAACTGACTCCTCTCTTTATTTTCATATGGTGCTACCTTTGTTAAAGTTTTTTATGCAGAGAGTCTATTGTGTTAGTAATCTCTACAGCATCATCAGTCTAGCACTGTGTCTTTATGTTAGGATCTCTTACTCTTTTTTTTTTTTTTAAAGATTTTATTTATTTTGAGCCATGAGTAGGGGGAGGGGCGAGGAGCAGAAGGAGAGAGAGAGAATCTCAAGCAGACTGTGTGCTGAGCGCAGAGCCAGATGTGGAGCTCAGTGTGGGGCTTGATCTCCTGACCCTGAGATCACAACCTGAGGTGATATCAAGAGTCTGACGCTTAACCAGCTGAGCTACCCAGGAGCCCCTAGGATCTCATAGTCTTAAAGGAGTCAGTTCAACTCAGAATCCTAAGTGATCTTTGAATCTGGTTGAGTCAGTTCTGTCCAGTTGGTAAAGTTGTCCCACTGCTGCTTTCATTCATTTATTGATTAACACTATCTTTGTGTCAGGCCTGTTCTAGGTTTAAGAGATACATCCCCCAAAAAAGTTTCTAGTGGTGGAAACAAGCAATAAATATAATAATTTAATAAGTTTTCTCCTAAAGGTATGCAAGAGATGCACATAGGAACCATTGCAGCGTGGGAAGCTTTCAGGGAGGGTTTCTCAGAGAAGTAAAACTTGAACTGAGTCTTGAAAGGTCTGTAAGAAGGAATTGAGCAACTAAAGTATTGCAGTCAGGGGAACAACATATGGACATGGGAAGAGAAGGCACATATGTAAGTTTGGCAGGCAGGGCTTTTTGTGGGATGTGGTAGATGCTAAAACGTGAGGAATAAGTTCCAGTTCTACTTCCAACGTGTAACGATGCACATGAGTGCGAGAATTAGTCATTTCATCTCTCCTGTTCTCAACTGCCTTCTCTCTGAAGTGAGGAGTAACACTAAGACAATTTTCAGCTCTAAGTGTAATATACCGTTAAACACAATGATAACTATTTGGTTATTAACGTTAGGTTGGTTATTTCTTAGGGAAAGGAACATCTCAGGGTGTTAGATCCTGGTAAATATGATTAGAAACTATAGTTTTTCTAGGATTCCTAGTCCAATGTGAGAGAGATTTGATGTTCTGTGCAAAGTACAATAACAGAAGAGGAACACCCTCAAGTTTTGCAAATAAATAGACTTCAGCATATTTGAGTAGTTTTCATTGCTTACTCCTCTACCACTTGGTACACAATGATGGTAAATTACCCTGTTTCAGGAGAGGGCATGTGATTTATTCCCCCTGTATGGTCTCTTCCTTTTTCTTTTTCTAATACTTCAGGCCTAAATTTAAAATTTTTCTCCTTTAAACTTTCCTGCACACTGCTGATGAATTAATCTTCTGAAAGCATTTATAGTCACGTTACTGCTCCCTTATTTATGGATTCCCTGTTGCTGTCAAGATAAAAATTCTGAACTGAATTTTCTTCCTTCTGGCTTGCGTTTACCAATCCTGACTCATGTCTCAAGACTGAAACTTCTCATTCAGCCAAATGCACCTCTTCCCATCTTAAGTACTTTCTAGACACAGGCTTTTTTCCCCTAAATAGACACTTTTAATTACACTGTTTCTCACCCTCTTAGAGTGTGTTCTCCACCCCAAACTCATCCTCTTTTCTTGTCTGAACCCGTCCTCATTGGTCAGACCTCAGCTTAAATTCCCCTTCTTAAATCAAGTTCTCTGTGACTGACCATAGCCCAGAGAGTTCAGCCATTCCCTGAACCCTCCTAGTTCTTGTTGTCTTTATGGTTCCTTAGATAATTATTCATGGCCCTACCGTACTCACACCTTTATTCTCTTAAATATGTCATTTTTTAATTACTTTTAACTTTGCACATTTTCTTATTATCCCCACCCATTCAAAGAACCTTGAAGAAAGCAGAAAAGAAAAAGCTTATCTAGAACATATTCTGTACTGTACTATCCCCAGTGTTTTATATAATTTTACTTAATTTAACCTTTAAACGACTATGAGGAAGTTGGAGGAATCCTTGACTTACAGATAAAGAGACAAGTTCACTTGCATTAAGAGTTTGCCTAGGGCGCCTGAGTGGCGCTGTCAGTTAAGGGTCTGCCTTCGATTCAGGTCATGATCCCAGGGTCCGGGGATCGAGCCCCGCATCAGGCTCCCTGCTCAGCTGGGAACCTGCTTCACCCTCTGCCTGCCGCTCTCCCTGCTTGTGCTCTCTTTCTCTATCAAATAAAATTAAAAAAAAAAAAAAAAAGAGTTTGCCTAGTGTTCCATCACCTTTATATATATTATATCACAGATTAGGAATTTGTACCCAGGATCATCTGATTGACAAGCATGTGCTCTTTCTACTCCCTAAACTGCCTTAGGGGTTTTGATTCCTTTACAGCTAAGTGCCATATATGTTAGGAGCTCAGGAAACCATGAAGCCAAATGTATTGGCTTCATGGTTCCTTTCCATTTCACTTTTTCACTGTTTTTCACTATTCACTTACTTTTGCCAGAATGTAAGCAGAGAAGATGAAATCTGTTATTAAATTATGCTTGCTATCCATTTTGTAAAAGGTTTCATAGGGGAAAAAATCGAAACTTTTGGCATAAATGTGGGGATTTGAATCATCTCTAGATGGTTATCCATGTGCAGTTCCCACTTGCTATTCTTACAGATTTCCACCACCCCCAAAAGTTATTCTTCAGAGTTTCACTTTAGTTTTTTAAAAATGCCATCCAAAGCAACAGAAAATATAGGCCATGAATTGTCTTCAGCCAGAAATGTTTCCTCTTTTGTGACTTCGCTTAAAATTAAAAAAACAAAAAAACCAAAAAAACCCCACACAGTTCCTCTTTTCAATTTGCTAAAAAAGGCACTAGAGAAGGAAAGACCCTGAACAGGAACATAATTATAAACCATTTTAGTTTGTAAGATCAGTTTTGGTAGGTTCATAGCCTCTTTTGTCAATAGGAAGATCATAAAACCTTCAGTATGTGAGATTTTTCTACTTGTCATTTAAGGGTTACAACAATATCAAAACCAAACTCCATGTTTTACCTATCCTATCTCTCCTTCCCACTCTTCAGTTAGCTGTCTACCCTCCTAGGGTCTGCTACATCAGAATGCTAGAATCTTTGTTAGCTTTCTACTACAGCAAATCAGAACAGTCCAGAAAAGAAAGAGCAGGATTTAACATAGGAATAAATAGGGGGCATAATAGTGAAGAAACTGACTTTTTCTAACTCAGAGAAGTGAGGCCAGTGTTACTGGCAGTGCAGAAAGTTATATAACGTATGTATTCTTTTAAATATATAAACCTTGTGTACCTGAAGTACCAACATTGCTTCTTCAGGGAGAGAAGGTAAAAACAAAGAACCATATGGGGGGAATGTAAAAAGGAGAAAATGTCAGATAAGATAAAAGGAAAAGGGAGTGCAAAGGAATAAAAAATAACACCAAAGAGAAAAATAAAGCAGAAATTATAGGAGGCAGCAAATATATGGAAAAAGGAAGGGGAAGGTCAGTGGGTTAGAGAAGGTATTGAAAAATTAGTAAAAAGCTGAAGAAGTGGTAATGTAATTAGCAAGAAATTAGGGTAGATGAGCAAAATTAGAAGTTGGAGGAGAAGATTGAAGTAGATGGAAGAAAGTGCGAAGTGCTGCTCTCTGTCACTGGTTTGGACTTGTGGACACCGGGAAGCAGCAAGGAGGAACCATCTTCCCACGATGGAGGACTTGACTCACCCGTCTTCTCAAACTCACTAGGCTTTCGTTTCAAGTTCTCCTATCTGTTCTAAGTATTCTTAAGATTCTCTTTTTTTAATTTTTTCCTGGCACTATTCAGAACATAACTGCTAATTATTCTAAAGAACCCATGCATTCTATATGGCATTATTCTAGAAATCCCTTAGTCTGCTGCTAAGGCAAATCCCATATTTGTCTACCTTCATATGGCAGTATCTTGCTCATTATTATAGGTTGTCACTTTGAGGTCTAAATCTGTGATTTTGGTCCTTTGGCTTTTCCTGAATATTTAAAAAGGTGTGGGTTTTTTGTTTTTGTTTTTAAGATTTTATTTATCTATTTGACAGAGAGAGACAGGGAGAGTGGGAACACAAGCAGAGGGAGTGGGAGAGGGAGAAGCAGGCTTCCTGCTGACAGGGAGCCCGATGCGAGGCTCCATCCCAGGACCCTGGGATCATGACCTGAGTCGAAGGCAGACGCTTAATGACTGAGCTACACAGGCTCCCCTAAAAAGGTTTTAAAAGAGGAAGGAAAACATCAGCTGCGTTTTTTTTTTTTTTTTAAGATTTTTTATTTATTTATTTGACAGAGAGAGACACAGCAAGAGAGGGAACACAGGCAGGGGGAGTGGGAGAGGGAGAAGCAGGCTTCCCACAGAGCAGGGAGCCCGATGCGGGGCTCGATCCCAGGACCCTGAGATCATGACCCGAGCTGAAGGCAGACGCTTAACGACTGAGCCACCCAGGTGCCCCTCAGCTGTGTTTTAACTAAGCATCTTACAGTCAGTTACAGTGAAGGTAGGAGTCCTCATGTATTAGACATGTTCTCATAAATATGATGCATAAGTACATAAAGAGTACAGTTAAAATTGATTCTGTTAAGTTGGATATGATAAGAAATGTCATTTAAAGAGAATCAAGGAGATTTGGAGAGCATATCCTAAATAAAAAGGCAAGTACAGGTAACAGTATAAAAAATAATACATGAGTTATTAGGACTTTGATATTATTACTACTTTCATTTAATAAGTTACAATATAGATAGAATAGATTAAAATTTAGTCATATTGTATCTCTAACTGGTTAAATTATTAAATCATAAAAAGAGGAAAACAGCAATTCTGTATCTTGAGTAGGAGTAGAAAGGGAGATTAACCTTGAACTCTAATAGGAAGTATTTGGAGACTTAATAATAATAGCTACCATTTACTGAGTACCCACTTAATGTTAGGTACTTAAGTACTATCCTATTTTAACAAGCAGGGTAGTGTTACCTTCGTCTTACAGATAAAGAGACTGAGACACAGAGATGTGGGGTAACTTGGCAGTGTCAGAGTTGTAAGTAGAGGCAGTGATAAAGAAATCATGTCAATCGTATCCCAGAGTCCTTTCCTTCTGTTATATGTCACTGACTTTCATAGTAAAAGTATGAAGCAGGAATGCTTAAGGAAGGAGATGTGAGCTCTCTGGAAACAGGTATGTAAATAACTTTTGGAGGCAGTCTTGAGTAAGGAGTAGGAAAAAAAACTACCAGAAAACCAGGTTATGCCTCTGATTCTATGAAAATATTTATGAGAGTTTTAAATGGTTAATCTATAAGCTATATTTGAGCTAATATATTTATGTATATTTGAGATGACTTTTAAAGATTGGACATTGAAAGGCATCAGATTTATATTTAACAAATTTGAACTTATTCAGAATTCATAATTTCCTTCTAAGTAGAGTTATATAGGAATTAATTGAAAAACAAAGGTACTATTACACTCTAAATTTTGAACTGACCCTTTAAAAATATATAGAGACAAGTCTTATCTAAAAAAGAGATAAAAATCTTTATATTCTAACTTATGTAATAGTTACTTAGAAAAAATCCAAAGTGGACTTCTATAAGGGAAAGTCATAAATATTTATGAAATGTTGAAATAGAATATCACCCACTATGAGTTTATATTCTGTGATATTACAAGTCTAAGTAAACTAAACCCTTTGCAGTTTTTATTTGGAGGATATTTACTTTGTAGCTGCCCAGTTTACTCACAGAGTAGGCATGTTGCATGCATATTAGCAATTTTCTATTATTTATCCTGTGAGTGTTTTTTCCCCATATCTATTTTATACTGTTTACCAACAGCTCAGATAGTAATGTATTGCATAAATACGTAGATGATATGAATATATGTACACACTTTATCATAACAGTTTTGTCTTAGTAAACTTTAAAAATGAGCCATAATATTTTCCTGTTATTACTTAAATATAAAATTCTATTTGTGTAAAAAACAAAGCGTAGGGCGCCTGGGTGGCTCAGTTGGTTAGGCGACTGCCTTCGGCTCGGGTCATGATCCCAGGGTCCTGGGATCGAGTCCCGCGTTGGGCTCCCTGCTCTGCAGGGAGCCTGCTTCTCCCTCTCCCACTCCCCCTGCTTGTGTTCCCCCTCTCGCTGTGTCTCTCTCTGTCAAATAGATAAATAAAATCTTTAAAAAAAAAAAACAAAAAACAAAGCGTATGTAATAATGATAATTGAGTACCTCATCTAATCTCCTTTGGTTTCTTTTTTAAATTAAGTGAAGGTGACCATTTTTACCATAGAAACTAAAGGGGATTAAAAATAATTTAAATCTATGGATTATGTATAGGAAAATTTTATAGAAAGCAAGTTAGAATTTTTAACAGCTGGTACTTGGGGATTGTAAATTCAGCCATATCCCATGGATTCTAGTTTTACTTGTATCCTTCAGCTTTATCCACCAGGGTTATAGTTTATTTCCTTTAATTACAGAACTAAGGCTAACTAACCATTGTGATTGAATAAACTTAAACGGGCTATATTATACAAACCTAGCTGAAAATTTTTCTTCAAGGCACGCTCAACATTGAATATTTTTTAATTCCATGCAACCAAATTACAAAACCTGTTATAGACATCTTTAGACTAGCAGAGTTTAAATTTAAAACACTAACAACGTTTTAGTTTTAAAAATAAATTTTATATAAAATTAAGATCAAACCAGATTGCCTGTGTGAAAATTTTCTTACCTCAGCTGTTAACTTCTTTTTGCAGAATGCTGAGTTCTTGTTCTATCTGGACATTTTGGTGATTTGGCTAAGAAAGCAAAAGGGGTGGTTTGTTCAGTTCAGATTAAAAATGGTCCTGTAGCAAACTGAAATGCTTTCTGTAGAAAAAAAGGAAGTTTATCGATAGTTGGTTCCGGAAGTGCAATAAGCCACAAAATGACTAAGAAATGCACTACTTTAACAGAACTTATTTTGAAACACAGTTTGCAGCTTTATGATTTGAATGCTTTTAATTAATGTTGGTAAGTGAATATTTGAGACTCTCTAGTAATGTGATTATATAATATAAATACTTAGAATAGGACTTTAGAGGGGAACTTACATATTCTAAGGAAAAACTGCCGGTTGGGTTATTACCCAAAGTGAAATTTCTTTTCGTAAGAAGCAAATGATATGTTCTGTTTACTCGATCACCTTAGGCAAGTTGCTGTACTTCTGAGTCATCATTTCCTCCTCTGGAGGAATATTTCTCTTAGTGAGTTATTTTGAAGATTAAATAAGATAACATGTATAAATGCCTCACACACAGTAGGAAGCCAGTAACTGTTAACATTATTTCCTTGTACATAATTTAGACAAAACCCAGGTAAAAGTATAATTCAGTTTTTTGGACCGAGTACTTTACTAAATTATTTTGGAGTTTCAGTGCACAACTCTTTGATTACCCACAAAGTAGGTACTTCTCAGTGGAAGGTAAAATAAATTGGGAATCATGATTTAAATAAGTTAAGCCAAGTATATTGAAAAGAGAATGAGTCAGTCTGAATAAAAATTTCTTTGGGCAAGTCACCTTCTAGCCTCTTTCCTCATCTGAGAAATGGAGGTCATAATTCCTAATTTATAAATTTGTTATGGGATTGAATAAATCTTAAGTGCCTAGCAAGCATAGCACCTGTTAGAGTAGATAACGGTAAGTATTAAGCCATGCCCTGCTTTTCCCTGATCACTACAGAGGATCATGGACTGTTGAGACCTAGTTCTTAACATCCAGGTACTTATAACTTGGCACAAAAGGAATAGTTTTTGTTTTTAAGGGGTCCTACTATAAAGCAGAATATAATCAAAACACTGTGAACTTTTGATTCACTATTTTAAAATCCCTGAATTGAGTATGTGGACCATAACACCTGGGGTAGAAAACAAAAGTGTTCTTTTTTCAAAAATAACTTTTAAATTTTGAACTCAAAATGTATCTTAATCTATCGTGTTTAAACACTTTCAAGTCTGAAAAGGAGCCACTTCTGTTTGTTCATGAACTGTCATTGGATAGCATCATTCTGAGGGTGTTAATTAGTGAGTGATGAATTTTAAATATTCCTGCAGTAGGAGCTTTATCTTTTTTTGTCAGAAAATGGTTGACCTGTATGTTGAATATGAAAGTACTTACCTAGTTAATGTCTTATTTTTTTAAAGGACACTAATTTGTTTTAATTTCCTCAGACAAGTATATATGTCACTTGACTCAATGAGTGCTTTGTGTAGCACTCTTTGTTCTAGTACACAGTCTCAAATTTTTAATTTATACAAAATGGGAGCTCTGCCCAGTTGCATTGCCAGTCTGGTCCTTTTTACCCCTCAAAAGATAACCTGATGTCACCATGATTGGCATGAGTGTTCTCTTCCCTTTTTACTTTTTTGACATTTAGCTTTATCTGGAATAATATGGTTATAATTTATTTATTTTTTTAACAAATTGGTAATAAATTGATCATAAAATTGATGCTTTGGTTTTTCCCTCCCATTTTAAGATACAACCTAGATCTTTGAAGCCATGGTGCCCGTAAGAAGTGATTTTGATGATCAAGACCAGTATCACCTAGGGAATTAATGCAGAAATTACCAGTGCTTGGAGGTTACCCCATTCCAGCTGAATCAGAAAGAGAGAGTGGGAATTAGGTATTGGCTAGCTTTAAAAACTCTTCAGATGATTCTGATGCACAATCAGGTTGAGAATCACGAACCTAGAAGGGAGGGTAAGATTGTGATCATATTTGGAAAAAAATATATAAAATTTTTTCTTAAATGGATAGCATATTGCCCAAAATAAATGCTCAATAAGGGATGAGAATTTTTAAATGTAGCTTGGTCTTTAATTAGTATGCCCTGGATCAATTTTAGTAGATAGTTGGAAAGTCTCTCAGACCAAGTTTTGTAATATATTTAACTGAAGGTGGAAGTCTTGATTTAAGTGTAAGTCATTATTTTACTTGAACCCAGTTTCTTGAAAGGTTAAACAGTGACTGGAGTATCCTGTTTTCCAGATGAGAGCAAACATACACACATCTTTCCTTTGCTCATGTCCCATTAGATAGTAAAAAAAAAGTAAAACTGATCATTTATTAGGCCACTTGGCACCCTTGAAGTCAGAAAATTAGTCACCCTTTGGATATTTGCTATAAATATTCCAATAAGCAGTATTTATAGAGTAGAGGTACATTGCATTTAAACAGTAAGATGTGCTTTACATTTACACTTGGCCTTCTGTTGTGGTTACAATCTCATCTGTTTCAGTTAAGCTCTATTTCTTATTGATCTTTACAGTGTGTTGCCTAAGATAATAAACGGAATACAATTATATGTAGTCAGTTTTATTCTAATGAGTCTTAATTCATTATACAAAATTAAAAGTTTTAATTAAATATTTATAGTAGAAAAACACTTTCTTCTGTGTGCGATATGTAAAGATGAAAACATCTGGCATAAAATTAGCTGTGCTGATGTATGAGCTGGTCCAGATTCTGTCACATTCGGCAAAGGTACCGTTAAACTGCAGTTCAACTCTACGCACTAGGAATTTGGCTTCTGTTAGATGCTGAAGCATATACTTGCCTCTAAGGACACACTAAAACTCTTCAAAGTTCAATTACATTCAGACAAAGATCATCTAACTACTGTTGCTGAACAGGAAATATTTATTTAATTGTCCCTTTCTGCCTCCCATTAGTCAGTTCCTTCAACTCGTCTTTAAAACCTTTCCCACATTCTCAGGTGTTTGGTTATTTACTTTTTAAAATACTCAGTGTCAGGACAAAAGTGCACAGTTTAAGTAATTGAGAAGGTGGGCAAACTTCTCCCCTTCTCACCTGCTGGATTCTAAATTGCAGGGCTGCCATGTCAACAAATTTTAGACCACCAAACCAACATGTTGGCATTAAATATCAAACTGATGTCATTTTTTTTACTTCATAAACTTTCTCATTGCTCCTTTGCATTTTTCTTGACTAAAGCGCCTGTTAGTTAGTGAATTTTTCAGTTCCTCCTTCATCTTTTCTTTCCCTTGTAGCTGTGAGTGTTCCAGTAGATTGCATCATTAGGTTGGGCCCTGTGAGCTGTTGTGCTCTTTTCCAAGTGTCTGATTCAGCAGGCCAGAGACCACTGCTTGCCAGAAAATCACCGTTGCTTCTAGGCTGACGCTTGCCTACTTGTTTTGATCGTCTGAAAGATGAGACTTTGTTTGCCAGAACTACAGTTGAGAGAAATAGAAGGGTGCAGATGAGAAAAAGCACTGCAATTATAACGAAGCAAATTAGCATAGCCATTTTGTTGTTGTTTTCCTCACAGACCTCTTTTTTGAAAATTTCACGGTGACCTTTGGTTGTGTTTTCCGTGCTCTGTACTGTTGGAGAACTGTTCCTGACGACAGAAGGTATATAAAGCTCCAGTTCCGATATAGGAGTTAGAGATGTGACCTGAGATGATGTTGCTATTTCAGTCCTGTTTATAGAGTTACCTCTTTTATCTACTGTAGAAGTTGTAGGGTTTGTGTTAATGTTTTCCTTTTGGTTTCTGCCCGGCTTACTTTGAATATCTGGATCCCAGACAGTAGTACTGTTAGCCCACAGATGGGTATAGTTTGCGTTTATTCCAGGAGACCAAGAAAAAACTGTTGTCGTCAGAAGGGCAAGATGCAGGTAAAGTCCTGTATGCTCCATGTCCATGAATATGCTGGAAATCTGTTGGGATAGCAGTATAATTTATTAATTTGGGAAAGAATTATGGTTCCTGGTTGTTGTGATTGTAGTTAAAAGATGGACAGCTGATACAAGTGAGCTACAAACTCATGCCTAATATTTGCTATCCTGTTTGAATTCCTTCTGACTTTGTTTCTGTCAGGCTGTGTATAAAGAAACAATTTAATTTCTGTATTCTTTCAAATGCTAGAGGTTAGCATTATGAATAACTGTGAATCATTTTAAACTGAATCCCGTGGTTTTATATAGTTTTCTCCCTCCCAAGCATACTAAATTTCAGCTTTGAGTCAGATACTTCTGCTTTGTTTTTTTGATTCCTTCTTTTTTTTTTTTTGCTCCCAACCATTTAAGGATCTTTCTTGCAGAAACTCCCCACCCTCTATGTGTCACCAATCTTTATAGTAAAAGAGAAATGTGGCCTTGAGCATTTTGCTTCATGTATGAAAAGAAAACACAAATGGCTTTTTTGGTTTTTGTTTTGGGGTTGAGAAAGGGGAAGTGTAGCAACCAAAGGAAAATGGATTCCAAATAGGAATTCAAGATGTTCTTTTTTCTTCTTAGGGTTTATCTTGAAGCTTAGAATAAAGCTGCTACTTAGAAATATACTCCCCATGTTTGTGAAAGCAATCATATGGTGGTGGTTCTCTCTTTTCACCTATATATCCCCTGACTTATTGTGGCTTTCTAAAAGCAAAACCATGCCAGATTTCTTCTGAATAATCTCAAAAGTTAAACCAAAGTTACTGGATAACTGAAAAAAGGATATCATCATTTATGCCTAGCATTTTTTTGTATCACTGTTTTGACATAATTTTTTAAAATAAATTATACAGTAAAATAGAGAACATCAGGTTTGGGGGGATTTAGACTATGGGAAGTGGGAAATCAAGGCAGATCGTAAGTCTCAACATATAAATAAAAAAGATTAATTTTAGTTTTGGCTTCAAGCTCCTTGGAAGCCAGTACAAAAAGGGGATAAGTCTGTTCTAATTCTCATTATCCACCCTATGATTGAAGATTTAAATAGAACTCTTTTATAGTAATATTCTGTTCATCTGAGCTACTTTTGTAAGAATATTTTGTTAGCATTAAATAGAAGCAAAACTAGATTATTCTCCTGAGATTTACTCAGTGAAATTACCTGTTTAAGAACCTTATTTTAAAGAAGTCCTTCTCAAACTTGAATGTGCATGAGAGTCTTTTTCTTGTTGTTGTTTTGTTTTTCTTTTTTTTTAAATTGGATTCTGATTCTGTAGGTCTAGGAATGACCTGAGATCCTGTGTTTCTAACCACCACCCAAGTAAGACAGATGCTGCTGCTAGTCATGCTTTTTTTGAGTTTCGAGGTTTTATTAGAAATAGTTGCTATATGTCATTGGATAAAATTTGTATGCTATTGATATACAGAAATTTGAAAATAACAAATGTTATATGTTGTTATACAAACAAAAGTAGCTTATAATAAACAATGCTAAATGGAAACTAGCCACTGAAGTAGTATTTCCTAAAGGAAAAAACCTTTATTATGTGTTCTAGAATTAAGATGACTTTTTGGATTATGATCTTTAATAGACAAAGATATTGCACACTGACTTCTGTATAATAGTGTTCAGCTTCAGTTTTTAAGTTGAATAACATAAATCTTTGTATACCTTATGATTCTTTCACAAAGAGAAATACTTTAAATTGGATTAGCAAGTAATTTCCATCTTTTCATACTAGACTAGATTTCTGCATTCAGTGCTAAAATGATTTAAAGTGGGTTATTCCTGGGGCGCCTGGGTGGCTCAGTTGGTTAAGCGACTGCCTTCGGCTCAGGTCATGATCCCGGGGTCCTGGGATCGAGCCCCACATCGGGCTCCCTGCTCAGTGGGAAGCCTGCTTCTCCCTCTCCCGCTCCCCCTACTTGTGTTCCCCCTCACACTGTCTGTCTCTGTCAATTAAATAAATAAACAAAATCTTTAAAAATAAATAAATAAAGTGGGTTATTCTTATCACATTAGTTCATCAACAATGTAGTATACATCATGGTATTCATACACATTTTAGCAGTGCTTACCACGCACGGGGTAGATAATAGGCCCGCTGTTGATTGTCTTCAGCCAGATGTACTGTCATCCCCAAATAAACAAACTGTTAACAAAATGAGACTTTCTCTTGCCCTTACAAATGCCTGAGAATAGAGGACTGTCTCTGCATTCCTAATTTATGCCATGGAGGCCAGGTTATGTTATCAAAAGTTTTCTTTATCTCTGGTCATTTTCAATAAAATTTATAATGCCTAAGCATTAGTAATGAGAACTTTATTTTTTCGACTTTTTAAATAACAAAACTTTTCAATTCACTGTGGAGTCTAAACTCAGATCCTTCCTAATCGTGATAAAAACTATTGTTGATGATAAATCTTTCCATTTCTAACTTAAATGTTACTTAATAGGACAGAAAAAACAGCATACATTTTCAAACACTTATGATTCCACTTTGTTAGTAAGATTCTTAGGTACTCTTTGAAAGCACTTCCTTGAACACTAGTCCGTACAAAGTTATAGGTGAAAAGGCATAACAAAAGCCGAATATATATGACCTACCTTACAAATTCTTGGTCAAAATCTGATTATAACCTGACTTTAATAAGCCACTTCTTTTCTTGTCTTGAAGCACAGCCTCCAAGTAATTTAAAGCAGAATAGACTTGGAGAATATGAACCTTAAAGTAAATCTGCAGTTAAAAAAAAAAAAAAGATATGTACAGCTAGCTTTCCACTTTTGAAACCAAACCACAGATGACACATTTCCTTTCTGCTGCAACTAAAGCACATATCACGGGGGGGGGGGGGGGGGTAGAAAAAAAAAAAAAAACAGAAAGTCCAACTTGTCCAGTTGGCCACTGGCATGACAGGAGGCTTTGTACAACAAATCCCCGCCTCCAGGGCAGGGAGGGTTTTCCGCTCAGTGCCTTTTGACCTTATGCTCATTATATATGCCTGCAATGTGTTTTTGAATGATAGTATCATTCAAAAGAAGATGGAATGGTATTTTTCCTGCAGCATTAAAATCTCTAAAAATTTGTATACCACAGACTGATTTGATGACATGCGTTTGGAGACCTGGGGTATTGGTCAGATAATAGAAACAGTGAAATACATAACCAACATCTCAAATTGTGGAACTACAACAATGACTTGAGAAAATATCTAGTAAACTTAGATTATATGGGGCAGAGTAAGTTTTTATGTGGTTTAGTGTATACACATACAGACTCTTTCCCCTTGAATGTCCTGTCATCACTTCATATTCAGTATGTCTAAAATGGACTTCATTTTCTCTCCAAAAGTCCCTGCCCCTCATGATCTCTTTGTTTTTGTTCATGATAGCAGCCTTCTTTGTGATCTCAGAGGCTTGGTATATAGCGAGTCCTTTTAATTCAAGTCCTTCTTTCAGCCCTGATCAGACCTTGGATCATGTTGGTCCTTTCTTCATATTCTTGAATTGGTTTCTTTTTTTACTGTCACCATAGTATTTAGATCCTTATTAGGCCATACCTAGACTACAGTATCTTTTTTACCCGCCCCAACTCCTTCATAGAGCTTCTATATATCACTTCCTTTGATCATATCACCTCTTTCTTTACAAAAATAAAGTTGAATAACTCCCTGACACTATAGCAGTGATTCAGAAATATTTGTGCATATAAATATCAGATAGAAGGTTGTTTAAAAACAATGAAAATTGCCAGGCCCCACTGCATAGATTCATATGTAGTAGAAATGGACTGCATTTGTATCAAGTACCACAGTTGATTCTGATGCTGGTGCTTCACAGAATATATTCTGAGAGGGGCGCCTGGGTGGCTCATTTGTTAAGTGGCTGCCTTCGGCTCAGGTCATGATCCCGGGGTCCTGAGATCGAGTCTCCCTGCTCAGCGGGAAGCCTGCTTCTTCCTCTCCCACTCCCCGCTGCTTGTGTTCCCTCTCTTGCTGTCTCTGTCTCTGTCAAATAAATAAATAAAATCTTTAAAAAATATATATATATATATTCTGAGAAATACTGGGCCTCTGGGAGAAAACCTGAATCTCTTAGTTTTGATCCTTTAACAATTTAACTATTATGTATTTTTCCAGCTTTATCTCTTTTTTTTAAAGTTAAACTTTTAATTTAATTTAATTTTATTTTTTAGTTTTTATTTAAATTCCAGTTAGTTAACAGACAGTGTCAAATTAGTTTCAGGTGTACAGTTTAGTGATTCAACACTTACAACGCCCAGTGCTCATCACAAGTGCCCATCTTAATCCCCCTCACCTATTTAACCCTCCTCCCACCCAACTACCCTCTGCTAACCATCAGTTTGTTCTCTGTAGTTAAGAGTCTGTTTTCCGGTTTGCCTCTCTTTTTTCCCCCTATGATCATTTGTTTTATTTCTTAAATTCCACGTATGAGTGAAATCATACGGTATTTGTCTTTCTCTGACTTATTTCTCACTTAACATAATACTCTCTAGCTCCATCCATGTCATTGCAGACGGCAAGACTTCATTCTTCTTTATGGCTGAGTAAGATTCCGTTGTATATATACCACTTTATCCATTCATCAAGTGATGGACACTTGGGCTCTTTCCATAATTTGGCTATTGTAGATAATGCTGCTGTAAACATCAGAGTGCATGTATTCCTTCAAATTAGTATTTTTGTAACCTTTGGGTAAATACCTAGTAGTGCAGTTGTCCAGCTTTATCTCTTAAGGCTTCTCTACGTGATCCTTCATTCCAGCTAAACTAGCTGACGTGCCTCAGCACATCTCATCTAGTTATGTTTCTTTTTTTCTTTACCTCTCTCTCTTAGATCTGCTAATCCCTGCTCTTGTTGAATTCAGAATTTCTCCCACCCACTTCAGCCACAACATCTATGTAGTTTTCAAGGACTACCTAGTTTGTGTTCATCTCTCCCTCTTCTGAACTATTTTTCTCTGCAATTCATTTGATAAGTGATTACATACTATCTCATACCTTTTCTTTGATCTTGAAATATTTTATTTTAAAATCATTTAACTTGATTTTTATCTTTTCTCCCAACAAGATTAAAAATTCTGATGTAAGGATATTTATCTGAGCCTATTGTGTAGTCTTTACCAGAGTCATCAAGTGTAGAACATTGGGCCAAATTAATATAAGTTGTTTTGATTTGAAGTTCTAGTACTGTGTTCTTCAGGGCTTTCTGATGGTCCTTATTTTGGCTACTCACACTGATCAGCATTCTTTTGAGTGTAAGCAACTTATGACCTTGTATGGCTTAATCAAAAAAATGGAATTCATTGGCTCACCAACTCAATAGTCCAGGGATAAATTTGATCCCAGGAGAGGCGTTATCTAGAGTTCAAATGAAATGGCTGGGGCCCCAGTTTCTCTCTTCGTTTCTCTGCTCCATTTCTTCAGTTTTTAGGCAGGCTTTCCCTTCATATCTCAAGGTATGAGCTAACAACTCCCAGGGCGATGTGTTTCTTTGTTTATAAACACCGGGAAAGAAAAAGTCTCAATTCCCAACTACAGCTAAAGTTTCTGAATTGGGCCTCTTTGGCCCTGGTTGTCCTGATTTGAGTCATATGGTCATTGCTGAACCTCTCTGGTCAAGGTGGGGTAAACAAATTGACTAAAGCCATTCAGATCACCCCAGGGCTCCAGGTGGATCATTCCCACCCAAAGTGTTCACCTGGGAAATTCGGTGGGCCTAGAGGCAACCAATCAATATTCACTGCCTTCCTCTGCTTATCTGGGGTGTGCAAGTTTGTTGTTGCTCAAGAGTGTTGGAATTGGAAACTTGTCTCTTTCATTTTCTTCAGCCTTATTTCTCAATCAATATCTAAAGGATAACTGATTTTTAAAAATGGATTTATATTTTACGTAATTTTTTGTTATTACAGTTTTCTCTAGAAAGCTCATCAGAAAATTAAAGGAATAAAATAGATTAGTAGTCTCTGTATATTTATTCAGAACTCTGTTAACAATCTGTGTCCTTTTTTTTTTGTCATCTTCCTTAGGTTTAAAACTGGTCAAATCAATGGCGATTTGCTGATATACCACGTCTTGCTGACTTTAAAGCCATATTATGCAAAGCCATATGAAATTGTAGTGGACCTTACCCATACTGGGCCTAGCAATCGCTTTAAAACGGACTTTCTCTCCAAGTGGTTTGTTGTTTTTCCTGGCTTTGCTTATGACAATGTCTCTGCAGTCTATATCTATAACTGTAACTCCTGGGTCAGGGAGTACACCAAGTATCACGAGCGGCTGCTGACTGGCCTCAAAGGCAGCAAAAGGCTCATCTTCATAGACTGTCCTGGGAAACTGGCTGAGCACATAGAGCATGAACAGCAGAAACTGCCTGCTGCCACGCTGGCTTTAGAAGAGGACTTGAAGGTATTCCACAATGCTCTCAAGCTAGCTCACAAAGACACCAAGGTTTCTATTAAAGTAAGTTTCACTCCACATGAGGTAAATGATTTGTCACCCTTCTTGGCTAACCAGACTGCACTGGCCTCCCTAGGTGTTCCCATAGAGGTGGATCAAATGTAAAGTAGGTCCAGATGGAGGAAAACTAAGCTTTCTATCTTCGTGGAGGTCCTGTGGAAGATAGGAGAGGTGTACACTTAATTATATTCTAGGTTGGATTGGAGGCAGGGGAGTGTTGTAGAGGGTGGTTTGCCATCTATCAGTCAAATGGTAGAAATGTGTGGAGGGTGGAAGTGACCAGTTGAGAATTCTTCTGATTATTACATGCTTTTTGTGGAATGGAAGACATGACCCAGGATAAAACCAGTGATTGATTATGGGATTCTTGAACTTTTTTAAAAAAAAATGTTTTCAGTCTCTTTTGAGAGCATTTATCACAATAACTCTTGACCCCATTTGAACATTGGCAGTAACTCTTCCTTAAATGGCAAACGTGGTATTTGTTTGGTCAGTCAGTTGGTTGGTTTTCAGAGCCTCTTAGAGTTCTACGTAGTGGAATTTAACTCTTCTTCACTCTGCCCTCTCACCATCACTTTCCAGGTTGGTTCTACTGCTGTCCAGGTAACCTCAGCAGAGCGAACAAAAGTCTTGGGGCAATCAGTCTTTCTAAATGATATCTATTATGCTTCGGAAATTGAAGAGATCTGCCTAGTGGATGAGAACCAGTTCACCTTAACCATTGCAAACCAGGGCACACCACTCACCTTCATGCACCAGGAGTGTGAAGCCATTGTCCAGTCTATCATTCATATTCGGACACGCTGGGAGCTGTCGCAGCCCGACTCCATCCCCCAGCACACCAAGATTCGGCCAAAAGATGTCCCTGGGACGCTGCTCAATATTGCATTACTTAATTTAGGCAGTTCAGACCCTAGTTTACGGTAGGTTTTTTAAAAATTCACTGCAACTTTTTTCAGAGTTTGTTGCTTTTAGAATGAGACCACTTAATAAGCTTTTAATACAGCCTCTACCTTAATACTCTAAATCGGAAGGTATGCTATGTTGGTTAACCAGTGTGACCTCATCAGTTTGTGGGGTATTCACATGAACTGTGGAATTCTGAAAAGGGTGATTCACACTAAACCAATACATGTTCTTTCTCCAGGAAACTTTCATCTGAAACAGACTACATAGCAGTTTTGGTTTTGTTACTCCCCCCCCACCAAAAAAAGCCTTTTTTTTTTTTTTTTTTTTTTAAGTCTATTCCTAAGTTTCTCCTTCTGAGTCCTCTAATTATGTTTTCCCATGTTCAGAAGTATATCACTATTAAGTTTCCTCACAGTCAGATTATTATTGTTTGACAAAGGAGGGCTTAATGTGCAATAACTCAAACAGTAACATTGCATACTTTCCACCTATATGACTTGAACAAAGCTCTTGAAAGAAGTCTTAAGACAGATGTAGATGTCATCTGATGGGGTATAATTGGTTCTGTTTAGATTTAATAATCTGAACATGAATGAGGAAGGAGCATGGCCTGTGGGGTCAGTAGATTTGGTTTAAATCTAGATCTGCTACAATGTATGACTTTAGGCAAGGTACTAAAGTTCTCTGAGCTCTAGTTTCCTCATTTTGAAAATAAGGGTAACAGTGCCTTTCCTATATACCTACAAAGGTTTCATAAATAGTATGTGTAGCAGTATATTTTAGCACCTAGTAAACAGTTTGTGCTCAGTATTACTGCCTCCCAACTCCCCCTCCCACCCCTCCTCTCTCTGCCAGTGTGTCTTTGTACTCCTTCCCTCCTTTCTCCCCTCTGCTTTTCGTGTTGGGATAATTCTTTGTCCCAGGTTCCTTGGGACTGTCAAGATTTTTACAGATATAAATTCTTATGGGGTGTAATGTAGCCCAAGTTTTATAAGTGGGCCTTTTAGGATTCCTGATTCTTAAATAAAGGGGGGAGGCGGAAATCAAGATTTCTTTACCTGGACGGGCCTCCCAGAAATTATGTATAAAATTTTGTGTATGCTTAGCTTTCGTTATCTCCAAGGAATCTGACCTACCCCAGTTTGAGCAGGCCTGGTTCTTTATAGCTGCTGAAATGTACCGATAAAAGTCAATGGTATAACTCCAAATTCCTAGGAGTTAGTAAGAGATACACAAACTTAGAAACAATAATACTAATATTCTCATTTTAGGAAAATAGAGCTATAAAGCCTGCCTTTAATTTCTAATTCAAAATTCCTCATAGAAGAATGCTAACAATCTTCTAACAGTTACTAGCTTCACTGAACCTGTATTCTCTTGTGAAATAAAGTGAACTGACAGCTTCTGTTTTTTGCTGAAGCATGTCATTCCAGAGAAAAAGGCTTTAGGCTGACTTAAATTTCAGTGGCTTTTTGCCCCCATATGGTTGTTGCAAAAATATAGTAGCATGATGACGGTTCGGAGGTCAGGAAAACCTGAAATTTGCTGAGCAAACTATTTCTCTTGCTGGATAGGGGAGAAAAATGAAAATTTGAAAACCAAGTACAGTTTTTTTACTTGTGTCCTAAATTGCTTAAGTATATTTTCAGACATTTCTAAGGGAAATTTTGGTTCTAATGGAATTTGGATGTATATCATTGTTTTATGTTTTCAGTGGTTAAGTATAATGGAAGGAAAAACAGGGGGGACTTAATTATATTATGTTTGTTTTTGACCTCTAGTTTGTAGTACGTCATATAGGACATCAAGAAAGAAATTTGGTAGGTGCTGATGAAAGATTTTCACATTTTAATTTGATGAGGGGCCCTCTCATTTCTCTTCTTATGATCCCCATTATAAATGGATCTGATGAGAGGGGGAACCACAATTTGAGTTTTTGGCTTCATTGAAAATATGATGAGCCTTATTCTAACTTTATTGATCCACCTTAGGACCATAAACCTCTCATATTTTATATCCTAGTAAAATGTCTTTTAGAAACGTCTTAATACTTACCTGTCTTAGGAGCCTCACAGTGCTCTTCTGGTAATGTCAAGAACCTCCCTTGAATCCCTAAATGATGAAAAAAAATCCCTAAATGATCAAGGGGTATTTTGTATTTACCATAGAACCATAACATCTTATCTCTCATTGATCATAAAATTTAAAAATAGTTGATTATGCTTTGTAGTAGAATAATAAGTTGTACGTTATGAAAAAAATTTGGAATCATAAGAAAAAATAAGTTTTAAAACAACTTCGTTTGTGTTTTCTCCTAGGTCAGCCGCCTATAATCTTCTGTGTGCCTTAACTTGTACCTTTAATTTAAAAATCGAGGGCCAGTTACTAGAGACATCAGGTTTATGCATCCCTGCCAACAACACGCTCTTTATTGTCTCTATTAGTAAGACACTGGCAGCCAATGAGCCACATCTCACCTTAGAATTTTTGGAAGAGTGTATTTCTGGATTTAGCAAATCTAGTAAGTAATAATAATTTTCTTTAATACTAACAATGATTCTTTTTTTTTTTTTTTTAAGATTTTATTTATTTATTTGACAGAGAGAGAGACATAGCGAGAGAGGGACCACAAGCAGGGGGAGTAGGAGAGGGAGAAGCAGGCTTCCCCGTGGTGCAGGGAGCCCTATGTGGGGCTCGATCCCAAGGCCCTGGGATCATGACCTGAGCCGAAGGCAGACACTTAACGACTGAGCCACCCAGGCGCCCCCTAACAATGATTCTAAGAAGATTCAAAGAAAATCCTTTCATTTCAGAATTTGCCAGTGAAATCATAATTGATTGTATTTTCGGTTCTTTATCTCTTCTAATTTTTCATCTGCTGTACTCTGCAACTGAAGAAACTCTGAAGGAACTTCCCGGTTAGACAACATTGAGAAATCCACCAAAATTCTGGCCATAAAAGCAAGGTGGCAAGATTTTTGATACTTTACATGTCTTTGAGCCACTTACAAAGTATTTTTCACACTGTTTCAGTTTAATTAGCTTCAGGATTTCTCTTCTTAGCAGATTATTCCAAATGAGTGAAGTATCCATGTTGTCTCCTTGATTTTAAGGAAATAGTCATTTTTTCTTTTTGTCAGGTTGACTTTGAACTGTGATTTTATTGGTCATGTACAGTTCCTGAAGAATGCAGTGACACATAATACAGGGTCCAGAGTCAACTCCTGACTTGGTTTTTAATAAGTCTTATAAATTTAACATCCACTGTTTCCATTTATTCATCTTCATACCCTGTTGTGGTATAAATGTTGCTCTTCCTCCAGCTTATTTCCTGACATTTTCTTTCTTTTTTTTTTTTTTTAAAGATTTTATTTATTTATTTGAGACAGAGAGAATGAGATACAGAGAGCATGAGAGGGAGGAGGGTCAGAGGGAGAAGCAGTCTCCCTGCCGAGCAGGGAGCCCGATGCGGGACTCGATCCCAGGACTCCGGGATCATGACCTGAGCCGAAGGCAGTCGCTTAACCAACTGAGCCACCCAGGCACCCTTTCCTGACATTTTCTTCCCTCCCCTTTCTCTCTCCATAATACATAAAACTTTTTTTCTGCAAACATATTTTTTTTAAGATTTACTTTTTTATTTGAGAACAGTAAGATAACATAAAAAAGAGCACATGCACGTGCATGAGTTGGGGGAGGGGCAGAGGGAGAGAATCTTTAAGCAGACTCCCTGCTGAGTGCAAAGCCCAACTTGGGGCTCAGTCCCAGTGACCTATGAGATCCTGACCTGAGCTGAAACCAGTTGCTTAACCAACTGAGCCACCCAGGTGCCCCTCAAACATATTTCTTGATTTTTCAGCTAATTGAAAGCTTTGACAATTCATCAAGTCCAGATGACTACATATATTTACTTTTACATATATTATTTATATTATAATACTTATAATAAGAGTTGTAGGAATACAACCCTAAAAAGAAAATGTGTTAAGACTGACAAAATAAGAAAAGCAGAAAGCTTTATTAAGAAATATTTAAAAAGATTTGAATGAGTGAACAGGCATATTGTGTTCTTGGATGAACAGTTCTTCCCACTTCCCAGATTATTATAAATTCAATGCAATCCCATCAAAATAGCTACAGGATTTGAGGACTAAGAATGAGGTAAAACTGAGGTGCCTGGGTGGCTCAGTTGGTTAAGTGTCCTACTCTTGATCTCAGCTCAGGTCATGATCTCAGGATCCTGAGTTCCAGCCTAGCATTGGACTCCATGCTGAGTATGGAGTCTACTTAAAAAAAAAAAAAGAAAAGAAAGAATGAGGTAAACTTAAAATGTTTATAAATTTCATTTGAAACAACAAGAATAGTTAAGAAAATGGTGAAAGAAAAGAAAACTGAGAGACACTTGTGGACATTTGAACACATAACAGTACAATAAAAACAGAGGTGTTCAAGAATCAGCAGTCAGATAAGTTTAAGAGAAACAGATTGATAAAGAAGTGTCACAAACTGATGGAGGAAAGATTAAATCATTTAAAAAATGAGGCTGGCCAGGAAAGAATGTCCAATGGAACAAAGACAGTCTCTTCAACAAATGGTGTTGGGAAAATTGGATAGCCACATGCAGAAGAATGAAACTGGACCATTTCCTTACACCACACACAAAAATAGACTCCAAATGGTTGGAAGACCTCAATGTGAGACAGGAGTCCATCCAAATCCTAAAGGAGAACACAGGCAGCAACCTCTTTGACCTCAGCCGAAGCAACTTCTTCCTAGAAACATCGCCAAAGGCAAGGGAAGCAAGGGCAAAAATGAACTATTGGGACTTCATCAAGATAAAAAGCTTTTGCCCAGCAAAAGAAACAGTCAACAAAACCAAAAGACAACTGACAGAATGGGAGAAGATATTTGCAAATGACATATCAGATAAAGGGCTAGTATCCAAAATCTATAAAGAACTCATCAAACTCAACATCCAAAGAACAAAGAATCCAATCAAGAAATGGGCAGAAGACATGAACAGACATTTTTCCAAAGAAGACATCCAAATGGCCAACAGACACATGAAAAAGTGCTCAATATCGCTCAGCATCAGGGAAATCCAAATCAAAACCTCAATGAGATACCACCTCACACCAGTCAGAATGGCTAAAATTAACAAGTCAGGAAATGACAGATGTTGGCGGGGATGCGGAGAAAGGGGAACCCTCCTACACTGTTGGTGGGAATGCAAGCTGGTGCAGCCACTCTGGAAAACTGTATGGAGATTCCTCAAAAAGTTGAAAATAGAGCTACCATATGATCCAGCAATTGCACTACTGGGTATTTACCTCACAGATACAAAAGTAGGGATCCGAAGGGGTACGTGCACCCGGATGTTTATAGCAGCAATGTCCACAATAGCCAAACTGTGGAAAGAGCCAAGATATCCATCGACAGATGAATGGATAAAGAAGATGTGGTATATATATACAATGGAATATTATGCAGCCATCAAAAGGAATGAGATCTTGCCATTTGCAACGACGTGGATGGAACTGGAGGGTATTATGTTGAGTGAAATAAGTCAAAAAGAGAAAGACATGTATCATATGATCTCACTGATATGAGGAATTCTTAATCGCAGGAATCAAACTGAGGGTTGTTGGAGTGGGGGGTGGGGTGGGAGGGATGGGGTGACTGGGTGATAGACACTGGGGAGGGTATGTGCTCTGGTAAGTGCTGCGAATTGTGCAAGACTGTTGAATCTCAGATCTGTACCTCTGAAACAAATAATGCAATATATGTTAAGAAAAAAAAAAAGAAGAAGAAGAAGAAGAAGCTAGCGGGAGGGGAAGAATGAAGCGGGGGAAATCGGAGGGGTAGACGAACCATGAGAGACGATGGACTCTGAAAAACAAACAGGGTTCTAGAGGGGAGGGGGGTGGGAGGATGGGTTAGCCTGGTGGTGGGTATTGAGGAGGGCACATTCTGCATGGAGCACTGGGTGTTGTGCACAACAATGAATCATGGAACACTTCATCTAAAACTAATGATGTAATGTATGGGGATTAACATAAGAATAAAAAATTTTAAAAAAATAGAATACTGCCTGAAAAAAAAAAAATGAGGCTGGGAAATGAATTAAGTTGGGTCTTCATCTTCACCCCCAAACCACAAGATACCAAAATAAAGTCTAACTGTATTTAAGAATTGAATATAAAAACTGGAACCATTAAAAAAAAAAAGAGGAAGCAGAGTATTTAATTGCTTTCTGGATGATTAAGGACTTACGAAGTAAAAAAGTGGTAGATAGAAAAGAAATAATGAGCGTAAATGATTACATAAAACTTCAAAACATCTCTATTTCAGAAACAAAGAAAAGTAAAAGATAATAAAAAACTAGGTAATATGCTTGCAGCAAATATGAGAAAAGATTAATATCTTTAATCATGAGTTCTTATAGATTAATAAAAATGGATCAACAACAGTAGTGTGCAGGTCATGCTAAAAAAGAATATTTATATTTTAAGAAGTTCATAATAAAATCAAAGAAATAAAAACAAAGTAAGATAACAATTATCAAATTGGCAAAAGGTTTTTTTTAATTCAGTGTTGATGGTCTATGGAATTGTGAACAGGTGCAATTTTTTGAGAAAGCACTTTGGACATGGATGTCAAGACCCCTAAGAATGTTCATTCCTTTTGGCCTCATGATTCCACCTTTTAGAATTTATCCTAAGGAATTAGTGTTCACATGTTTATTATAGCATTACTTTTTATTTAGATTTTTTAAATTCAAGTATATCCTATCAGTTAAGTGCCCAAATCTTAAGTGAACAACTTGATAAATTTTTATGTGTGAATACATCACAAAACCCTCTCCCAGACCAAGATACAGAAGATTTCCAGCATCCAGAAGGTTCCTTTCAGTCAGTACCATCCCCTCACCAAGAGTAACCACTATTGTGACCTCTATTGCCATAAATTTTTTTTGCCTACTTTTGAACTTCACATAACATTATTTATAGTAGCAAAAAATTGGAACAGTCTAAAGGTCAAACAATAAAGAACTAATTAAATTGTCAGATTTCCATATGATGGAATAATATGAAACCATCAAAAATGGTTTTGGTACAGAATTTCAGTTTGAGAATATGAGAAAATTGTGGAGACGGATGGTGGTGATAGTTGCATAATGATGTGAACGTACTTAGGGCCACTGAACTGTACACTTAAAAATGGCAAATTTTATATTGTGTGTATTTTCCCACAATAAAAAAAGTGTTTTGGGGACTCTAGATAAAGTTATATGGAGGAATATTTGTATCTTTTTCTAAGTCTAAACTTACGTCAAAATGAAAAGTTAAAACATGTTTTATCTTTGAAGAAAATATTCAAAACATACTGTACAGACAGTGTAGTCCTCATTTTTGTGGAGGACTTGGGGTGGGTATTATGTGTATACACACACATAAATGTACATAATCTCTACGTAGCTTTGAAAGCCTGAGAAGAGATGAGGTGATACACCAGTATATTAATATCAGTTTCATTTTTGTGGTGATGCTTTCCTTTCACCTAACTTTCTATGATTGCTACATATTCCTTATACAATTAGAATAAAACTTAATAAAATTTCTAACTAGAAGAGAAATGATTAAGAAAAAGAAAAATAAGATAAAACTTTGCAAAAATTGGCCAGCTGGCTTTTAAGATTACTTTCTTCATGGCTTATTCTCTTCATCTCTGTCTTTAATATATTGGCCAAATCTCTTTTCTCCAGACCTGATTCTACATAATGATCTTTACCTTTTACCTTCTTTTCCCCAATCCTCTATATTTTTAGATAACTGTTGATGTAATTTTCATTGACCATCTATGCTAATAGTGTATTTTTTTTTCCAGGTATTGAATTGAAACACCTTTGTTTGGAATACATGACTCCATGGCTGTCAAATCTAGTCCGTTTTTGTAAACACAATGATGATGCCAAACGACAAAGAGTTACTGCTATTCTTGATAAACTGATAACAATGACCATAAATGAGAAACAGATGTACCCATCTATCCAAGCCAAAATATGGGGGAGCCTTGGGCAGGTATTGAGTTTGCTCAGATATTTGTCTAGTACCTATGTGATGCAGATATTAATCTGGTACCCGCTTTGTGCAAAACATTGTGCTGGGCACTTAGGGATATAGCTATAGAAAAGACAGTCCTCTCTTTCAAAAAGCATGCAGACACTCACCTAATTCTTGGATTTGGTTCAGAATTGTAGATGTCTAATGCATATTTCAGAGCCAGAAATAAACTATTTTAGTACTCTTTTTCATGGCATAATTATATAGAATTTAACTGTAAAAATCTGATGTTTCTAGTAAATAGTGGTTTATTTTATTTATTTATTGGGGGGCCGGGGGGAGGGGTTGAGGGAGAGAGAATCTCAAGCAAGCTCCACGTCCAGCTCAGAGCCCAATGTGGGGCTCAGTCTCATGACCTGAACTGAAATCGTTTAACTGACTGAGCCACCCTGACACTCCTAAATAGTGCTTTATATAACATATTCTAGCACTTACATTCCATAGATGTCAGTAGATGTATGTTAACAATATTATTTTGGACACCTTTCATTTATAGTTCTAGCACAAGAATACCAGTATTAAAATATAGAATACAATGTAATATTTTATTTTTTATCTGACAAGAATTGTGCACATCATTTCTTCAAAGATCATACAATGCTGCAAATCTTCCACATAATTTGAAATGACCATGGAGCCAGTTTTATAGCTCTACAAAACATCCTAGTACTTGATGTCATTTCCTGTATTTTAAAATAATTGTATTTTATATTAGTCATACATCACTGTCTTAGGAGAGAACAGAGGTGCTTTGCTAGTGGATGAAAATAATACATGTGGATATTTTAAATTTCTGAATATTGGTCCCTTTTACTCTCGGAAGCAATTGAGTACAATTGAGTGAATATCTTTATCCTCCTTTGGATATTTAATGATAAATTTACTGACAGGTTTCTAAATAAAACTTAGTATTTTGGAGGCTTCAGGTAAAATAGAATTTTCATGTTGATTGGGCTACTGCTTTTGAAGTATTTTTAAAGTAAAAATTTAAGTTGGCAGAGTGATGGCTAAAACATGCTATCTTTCCCTCTTCCCCTAGATTACAGATCTCCTTGATGTTGTACTAGACAGTTTCATCAAAACCAGTGCGACAGGTGGCCTGGGATCAATAAAGGCTGAGGTGATGGCAGATACTGCTGTAGCTTTGGCTTCTGGAAATGTGAAATTGGTTTCAAGCAAGGTAAGCAACTTTTCCTTTACCTTCTGGACTGTGGCATGATGTGTCTGTTTTTATTACCAGGAGGTTGTTTGTATTGTAACTAGTCATTTTAAGGTTAAACTGAAACTTTTTGTGATAAAACTTTGTTTTAGCCCCTGTGTTCTTTAAAATTCTGTTTCTTTATAGGTTATTGGAAGGATGTGCAAAATAATTGACAAGACATGCTTATCTCCAACTCCTACCTTAGAACAACATCTTATGTGGGACGATATTGCTATTCTAGCACGCTACATGCTGATGCTGTCCTTCAACAATTCCCTTGATGTGGCAGCTCATCTGCCCTACCTCTTCCATGTTGTTACTTTCTTAGTAGCCACAGGGCCACTCTCCCTTAGAGCTTCCACACATGGATTGGTCATTAATATCATACACTCTCTGTGTACTTGTTCACAGCTTCATTTTAGTGGTAAGTTCCCAGAAAGTACTTTGTGTTTTGCAATTCATTTCTCCATTTTATATCACCTGGTTGGCATAAATTATCTTACTCATTATTATGGTTCTCTTTAACACTAGCTGTTTATTGAAGTCTGTGATGATACATGAAATACTATCAGAAAGAAAAAGAATAAATTAACTCCATTCTATTTCAAGCTATAGCAGAGATTTTCTTTTAAAATCTCGAGAGAGAGAGAGAGAGAAAGTGAGCGAGCGGCAGGGTTGGGGGTGTCCACAGAGGGAGAGGGAGAGAGAGAATCCTTAAGCAGACTTCCCGCTGAGCGTGGACCCTGACGGCGGGGCTTGATCCCACGACTCTGAGATCATGACCTAAGCTGAAATCAAGAATCAAACACTTAACTGACCGAGCCACCCAGGCGCCCCTACAGCAAAGATTTTCTCTGTGCGTTTGACAGGTAGACTGTTGTAACCACAGAAGCTAAAGACTCCGCAGCAGTTGATGGTGTTGTGTTACTGGCATGAACTTGTAGGTAGTGGAGCTAAAGCAGTGGAGCGTTGAGCAGAATGTTTCTAGAGGGTTGGTGTAGGGAGCATGACTATGTAGTTTTGATATGATTTCAAATTTTCTAAAAGCCAAGTGAAATTGGGCACTTTAGAATTAAAAAGTTAATACCTTTAAAGTCTTTCCTTGTTCCTTTTTTCTTTTACAGAAGAGACCAAGCAAGTTTTAAGACTCAGTTTGACGGAGTTCTCATTACCCAAGTTTTACCTGCTGTTTGGCATTAGCAAAGTCAAGTCAGCTGCCGTCATTGCCTTCCGCTCTAGTTACCGGGACAGGTCATTCTCTCCCGGCTCCTATGAAAGGGAGACTTTTGCTTTGACTTCCCTGGAAACAGTCACAGAAGCTTTGTTGGAGATCATGGAGGTACATTAGACAAAATGATAAGAAACTGAGATCTTTTTTTCTTAATCCACTAGTACTATAAAGAAGAAATATTAGTTTATTCTGCTGTTCTATGCTTAATGCTTAAATAAAAACACTCCCATGGAACATGTTTATTGGTAATATATATGTCATTTATTTAATGACATTATAATAAACGTTATTTAAATGTTTCTAAAAACATTTATGTACACAAATATATTTAAGAGTATCTTTTTTTTAAGGCATGTATGAGAGATATTCCAACATGCAAGTGGCTGGACCAGTGGACAGAACTAGCTCAAAGGTAGGTCCCAAATAAATTTAAGTTGTAAAAGTATGTGTATTATTGAAAAGATAAATACTTCTGCATAATCAGTATTTTAATTAATTATTTAGTATATATAAACACAAAGGTTTTTCCTGAACTCTTTGGATTTTTTAATTGCAGATTTGCATTCCAATATAATCCATCGCTACAACCAAGAGCTCTTGTTGTCTTTGGCTGTATTAGCAAACGTGTGTCTCATGGGCAGATAAAGCAGATTATCCGTATTCTTAGCAAGGTACATCTCCCTCCTTTCCTCCTTCTCAAATATTTGTGGTTCTCAAGTTATAAAGCATACTTGTGTTTTTCTAAGGGACATCTAAATTTGAAGTTAATAAAATGTCTTGTATGTTGCTTGTTAAACCTTTAAACAACAGATTGAATTATTTTCTTTATTGTAATTTTTGAAGTGAAGAACCCTCTAAAGAAGATATCTTAAAAAAAAATATGTATTGTCTCTTTTGCTAAGAAGATACTCTTAGTATTTTATCAGTTTTCAAAGCATTTAACTATATGGTAAAACTAGCTTTATATAAAATTATATAATATGTAATTAATATAATAATGCATAATGTATTAAAATATAATATAGAAATATTTAAAAATGAAAACCCAAATGACCTATTTACCAAGAACACCATAGCATTGGAAATTATTCTAGCACTTACTAAATAAGGAATTGTTCCTGAACTGATTGTGAGATTTAGTTTAGGAGTTAATGTTTTATTTCAATGGAAGTAAATATAAAAAATTCTGTTTCCCTAAAAGGCACTTGAGAGTTGCTTAAAAGGACCTGATACTTACAACAGTCAAGTTCTGATAGAAGCCACAGTAATAGCACTAACCAAGTTACAACCACTTCTTAATAAGGTAATTACTATATAGAAATGAGTACATTCATTTTGGGTATTAGTCTTAAATGTTATTTTATTTTGTTTCAAAAAACTCAGAAAGTAAGTGGGACTGAGAAGAAGTTATAAAGAAAAAACTGTAGTTAAAGTAGAACTTCCTTGTCTTTAAATTTAGTTGTTTGAAGAATTTACATTAGGGAAGAATAAGTATGGAGAGTATGTTCTCAAGAGCTTATAAGTTTTTGTCTCATCAGTGTAAAAAGGAAAAATAGGTATATATTCTTAATTCTTTAATCCAGTAAGTAGTAACTGAGCATCTGCTATGTGCCAAGTACCATTTTAGGTGCCAGAGATGTAGTACCTGAACAAAACTAATAAAACATCCTGCCCTCATGGAGCTTATGTTCTTGGGGTAAGTGTGGGAGGTGGAAAGTGAATAGGTAATAAACAAAGTAAGTAAAATACAGAGTATGCTAGTTCATGATCATTACTGTGGAGAAATGTAAACCTGGGGGAGGTATACCTGGTCATCAAGAGAGCCTGGGTGCTAAATGAAGATGATATTTAAAAGGAATAAAATGATGCGGCCACTGTTTTTGGATGGTCTGAGCTCATCTCAGCTTTGTGACCAGATATGTTAAATGACCTGTTCATTTAACATACCTGGACATGGTATTTCCAAATTGATAAAATGAGTAAACTAGACTAGATGATGGCAGAGTATTATTTTCCAACTCTGAAGTTATATAATTATGTGAATCGAATACAAAGATATGTCAGATGAGGGAGATTACAGAGAAATAAATACCTGTATGTTGTTCGTATTGAGTTATCTTCTAATATCTTCTATAAATAAAACATCTTCTTATCCTAAATTGCACAAAATGGTTCTCTTACTTATCCTCATATTAGAAGTTAAAATGAGGCTCAGAAAGGCTAAGTGACTTGCCCAAGGACACATACCTAATAAGACAGAGCCATGATTCCCTTCCAAGGCTGTCTGACCCTAAAGTCTGTGTCTTTTCCCATTTACCATACTGCTGAAGAAGGGTTCCCCAAAATACATTATCTTAATTCAGAACAGCAAGAGATACTGTATTGGTAAGGGTGACAAGAAAGTTAACCAACTGAGCCACCCAGGCGCCCAGGTGACAAGAAAGTTAAATGGGTAGTCTAAACTAAAGTTAAAGAGATAAGTGGGATTTAGTGTAGAGAAAGGGGAAAAGCCTTGCACAGCAAATGTACAGAAGGGGGATCATACAGGAATGCTAGGACACCAAAGGGATGGTGGGTAGACCATTCTAGTAGTATGGAGAAACTTTGCAGGAGAGTAGTGAGATGGAAGATTGTAAAGATTGGATAGAACTAATCTAACACTCAAGATTCTTCAGAAGGGAGTTGGCAAATGTACCTGTATGTTTTCAAGCAGATGAGTAGTATGACAAGAGGAAGACTTCGAACGGTCCTTCTGGCAGTAGTGTGCACAGCAGATTGGAGTGGAGGGAGCCCGGAGGCAAAAAGAATCCACATTTAAAATAAGGACACATTTAGAATAGTGTCATTAGCAGTAGGCAAATAGAGAAGAGACTATTTTGGAAAAATTAATAAGACTTGGTGACTGGAGTTTGGAATCAAAGAACAGGGAGAAATCAAAGGAGATGCTAATATTCTCAGCCTGGCTAACAGTGTCTTTAGTTATACATGTGGAATAGATGAAGAGCTTACCTGTATATTTAATTTCTCCAAAAGAGAAAGCATGCATAATTTGGGGGATAAGGTGCTTTGTTTTATACTGTGATGTGTTTTGAACAAGACTGTTTGTAGTTCATCTCGCTAATCTGGGATGCGTGACCTTTGCCAGGACTCCCCTCTGCACAAAGCCCTCTTTTGGGTCGCGGTGGCTGTGCTACAGCTCGACGAGGTCAGCTTGTACTCAGCAGGTACCGCGCTTCTGGAACAAAACCTGCACACCTTAGACAGTCTGCGGGTATTCAACGACAAGGTAAGCAAGCTTTCAGTTGGCATTCCTAGAGTCTGCACATTTAGAATTCCTCTCTCTTTTACTGTTGTTGGCCTTTTAAAATCAGAAGAGGTCCATAACTTCAATATGTATTTCTGTAATGCAACTTATTTGTGAGTGTACTTCCTTAACAGCTCATAAAGAAACTATTTAAACTTTTTTTTTTTTTTTAAGATTTTATTTATTTGACACAGAGATACAGCAAGAGAAGGAACACAAGCAGGGGAAGTGGGAGAGGGAGAGGGAGAGGGAGAAGCAGGCTTCCTGCTGAGCAGGGAGCCTGATGCGGGACTCCATCCCAGGACTCTGGTATCATGACCTGAGCCAAAGGCAGATGCTTAACTGAGCCACCCAGGTGCCCCTGAACTTTGCTATATAAAAATAGTAGGAAATAGTACTCACCCAATACTGGTAAGCAGAATAGGGATAAAAAATATTGAGTAGTAATAGTAGCTACTATGCTAAGCCCTGTGCTGTGCTCTGTATACTATGCACTGTACAGTCATTATTTGTGATTTCATAACCCAAAGGTAAAGGTTAGCATTCTCTACCCTCCATTTCACATATGAAGAAATAATCTAAAAATAAGCTTATTTTTATTGAATAATGGTACTTATTGAGAAAATAGGTTGGAGAGTCTAAAGGAAACTTTCGGGTACTTAATTGTACTAGGTTTTTGTTTTGCCTAATCCCACTTTGAAACATACCATTAGCACCCTTCTTAACATTTATCAACCTTGACTGAGGTTGGATTTTGGTGTATAGAGTATACAGAAGGGGACATAACAGTATGAAATGATGTTCTTTTTTGTCTTTGGAGAAAAATGGGAAGAGTCTAGGAGAAAAGTGAGGAATTTTTTTTAAAGATAGGTGTTTATACACTGGGGAGGGTATGTGCTCTGGTAAGCGCTGTGAATTGTGCAAGACTGTTGAATCTCAGATCTGTACCTCTGAAACAAATAATGCAATATATGTTAAGAAAAAAAAAGAAGAAGAAGGTAGCAGGAGGGGAAGAATGAAGCAGGGGAAATCGGAGGGGTAGACGAACCATGAGAGACGATGGACTCTGAAAAACAAACTGAGGGTTCTAGAGGGGAGGGGGGTAGGAGGATGGGTTAGCCTGGTGATGGGTATTAAAGAGGGCACGTTCTGCATGGAGCACTGGGTGTTATGCATAAACAATGAATCATGGAACACTTCATCTAAAACTAATGATGTAATGTATGGGGATTAACATAAGAATAAAGATAGGTGTTTATAACAAGAGATATACTTGAAGTGAGCTTGATCAAAGCTGTGGATAGAAAAAAAAACAGAATAGGAGCATGGTTTTAAGTGTGATGATACCTGGGCTAAATACTATTTGATTAGTCTGCCAGTTGTGGTGTAGACTTGAAATAGCTACCTTGAAGTTTATCCATCAGGCCTCCATTTTACAAAATAGGAAGGAACAAGTTAAATAACTTGTCCATATTTGTACATCTGATTTGGGACTAAAGCCCCTCTTTCCTAATCCTTGTTGCTCTTTTCTGGGGTTGTCTTGGGACAGTGGTGGTCAGAGCAATAGCTAGATATTGGCTGTTTGTATGGATATAAAAATATTTGTAAATGAAATGTTTGTCTAGGAGTATCTACCTTGGTATTTTCATTGCCAGAACAGCCCCATAGCAGGAGCTAATACTGACTTCAGTGCCCCAAGAATACTAGGAATCAGAGTTAATAAAGCCTATTAAAAGTCGCCAGGATGTAAGATGAATAAAGTCGGAGGATCTGATGTATAACATGGTGACTATAGTTGGTAACATTGTAGTGTATAATTGAAATTTGCTAAGAGAGTAGAACTTTAAGTTCTATATTTAATGATTTAATGTTCTTACCAAAGTGGGAGTGGGGGTAGCTGTAAATATATGAGGTGATGGTTGTGTTCATTGCCTTGATGGGGTAAATCGTTTCACAACGTATATGTATATCAAATCATCATGTTGTATACTTTAAATATCTTCGAATTTTATGTCAGTTATTATACCTCATTAAAGCTGGAAAAAATAAATTGTACATATAGCAGGTTAATAGGTAATCATACTTTATATAGTATTCTGCAATTTGCATTTTTATTTAAAAATATAAAGTGAACCTCTTTCTAAGCATATATACTCACACATATACATATATACATACATATACAGGTGTGCATGAGCAAGTAATTCTTTCTCATGGCTACAGAGTATTTTACATTATGCATGAGCCACAGTTTTTCAACCATTTGCCTATTGATGAACAATTGATTTGTTTCTGTCTTTTCTTCTTTTCTGTTTTAAACAGTGCTATTCTAAACATCTCTCTACATTTATTTTAAATTCTTTTTTTTTTTTTTAAGATTTTATTTATTTATTTGAGAGAGTGAGAATGAGAGAGAGAGAGAGCATATGAGAGGGAGGAGGGTCAGAGGGAGAAGCAGGCTCCCTGCCGAGCAGGGGGAGCCCGATGCGGGACTCGATCCCAGGACTCCAGGATCATGACCTGAGCCGAAGGCAGTCGCCCAACCAACAGAGCCACCCAGGCGCCCCCACATTTATTTTAAATGGTCATGTTTTTCTTTCTTTGAGATATAAATCTAGATAACCTGAGCTCAGGCTCTAAACACCTTCAGTTGTTTGCTTTTAAAAATCTCTGTTCATGAGGGAATTACTGGGCTTTTTTTAAAAAATGCAAATTCCTGGGCTTTACCTAGTGACCTTAAAACAGGTATTCATTTTCAGTGACTTTAAAGCAGATACTCCTGAAGCCACACTTCAGGAAACACTGTTAAAATCTTAATTATCTTGGGTAAGTTGCATGGCATTTTTAAGTTTTGATTTCCTTGTTTTCCCACACTAGAATGTAAAATCCACCAGGGTGAATACTTTTTGTCTCTTTAGTTCACTGATTGATGTTCAGAGCCTAGAACCATGCCTGGCACATCAAAAACACATAATAAGTACTTGATAAGTAAAAGAATGAATGAATAAATCTGTAGAATGGAGCTAATATTGACTGCATAGGATTGCTTTACGGTTTCAGTACAGTAATGCATCTAACATTATTGTATACTGCAGGCACTCAGTAAATATGAACTCTCTTTGTTTTCTTGAATTTTCAGTCATAGTATACAAAATGCCTACTACAATTCAATGGATGGTCTTATTTAAAACAATAATTATAATTTTTTTTTCTTTTTTTAATTTAATTTTATTATGTTAGTCATCGTACATCATTAGTTTTTGATGTAGTGATCCACACTTCACTGTTTTCATATAAATAACACCCAGTGCTCCGTGAATCATGGAGCACTGGGTGTTATACGAAAACAGTAATCATAATTTTTAAGAAGTCACCAGGATATAAATTGATAGTCATTTGTTTTTCATCATAATTCAAAGATATTTTGTCTTCTGTCATCTTATTATTTATATATGCTTGATTGTCTCACACTAATTTATTTGTAGTATCTTAAATGTTCTATGGTTTTCTATAGTCATCTGAAAATAATCTCTCTCCACTTGAAAGGATTACTTAACTGACATAGCTATGAACACAATCAAAAACCAATAAGTAATCCTTTAAGGAAAGTTCCTATGTGACCCCCATCAACCATATTCTGATTGTCTTCAATAGAGTCCAGAGGAAGTATTTATGGCAATCCGGAATCCTCTCGAATGGCACTGCAAGCAAATGGATCATTTTGTTGGACTCAATTTCAACTCTAACTTTAACTTCGCACTGGTTGGACACCTCTTAAAAGGTAGAGGACTTGTGTCAGAGTATTTTTTATGAAATGATATCAGGAAGCCAGAAGTAACTAAAATAATTTGTTATTTGAAATAAGTTGAAACAATTTGGCTCATTTGTCTTACTTTTTTTTTTTTTTTTTTTTTTAAGATTATTTGAGAGAGAGCAAGCTCAAGGGGAGAGGGTGGGTGGGGAGGGGTAGAGAGAGAGAGAATCTCAAACAGACTCCCTGCTGAGCATGGAGCCCAATGTGGGGCTCGATCCCACAACCCTGAGATCATGACCTGAGTTGAAACCAAGAGTCGGACATTCAACCAACTCAGCCACACAGGCGCCCCTCGTATATTTTACTTTAAATGCAGATATATCTGTCTTATTGAGCTATGTTTTATTCAGTATGTATTTTAATAGAGCCTAATCACTGTATCAAATATCAGATTTCCTTTAAAATGCAAAAGTGTTGATTCTTGAAATAATCCTAAATACCAGACTTTCTAATAGCTAAGTATCTTTTTGATTATTTAAAATAAGGCAGACTGCAAATCAATAAATGATGTTACATGGGTAACTTATGTTAGAATATGATATCTTAGAGATTTGATTACAAATTTTCTTCAACTTGTTTCTAAGGTATTGTTGTTCAGTTGCATTGTTACATACCAAAGCACCTCACCTTTCTGGTACCCCACCCTCACCCCTCCAAATTTCTGAATTGCTGATAGCAGTGGTCTCCTAGTCCTCAGAGCCAGCTTGTTCACTGCCTCTCCTGGCTTTACTCCCCATTGCTGACTTCACTGTATGCTAGCTTTGGTTTACTAACATGGAACAGTCATGGCCAGAGACTACAGTTAACAGGAACGGCGCATAGTGGTAAGTCTGAGACAAAGGCAGTGGAGAGTAAGGCTTGGGATGAGGAGCTGGCATGAACCAGTAGTCTTAAGCAGCACTGGCTTTGGCCCCAATTAGAGACTCAAGCTCTAGCTTGAGTCTACAGTTTTGTAAATCAGTGTAAATGATTTTTAGGCTTGAGGGATCATGGAGGTTCCCCAGTGTTTACCTGACAGATGTACATACACCTACTACTGTGAATGTAAACATTTGATTTCTTTACCTTATGAAATTTCTGCAAAAATATTAATAGTTTTAATCTCTAAAGTGAATAGGGATTGCTCAAAACGTATTACACTTATGACAGGATACCAAAAAGAAGGATTGCATGAGGCTGATAAAGTGCTTGCTGATTCTGTATTTCTAAGAGTACCAGATATTTTCAGAGTACAAATCCCCTACTTTAAAATGGAGTAGCACTGGGGCGCCAGGGTGGCTTGGTTGGTTAGACGTCTGCCTTCAGCTCAGGTCATGATCCCTAGGTCCTGGGATCAAGCCCTGCATCAGGCTCCCTGCTCAGTGGGGAGTCTGCTTCTCCCTCTCCCACTCCGCCCCCCACCACCGTTTGTGCTCTAGCTGATTCACTCTCTCACTCTCAAATGAATAAATTAAAAAAAAAATTGAAATGGAGTAGCACTAATAATTAAGGCTGTCCAAAGATCAAGCTTACTCTCTGATCAAACCTATTCTTTGGGTTCTGAGAGCATATACATCCTACACTATTAGATTTTTTTCCTTTAATTAAAAAAAGAAATAATTTTTAAGCAACAGACCCTATTTTCAAAAGCTATCTTAAGGTGACCTCAAATACCTAGATTTTTTTTTTAAATCCCCTCACTGCTTTAGGGAATGGAATATCTGAAACAGCATCCATCTTTCCTTATTTTCCTCCCTTAGAGTTCCAGGGAATAGTATTTTCTTCTACACATGTTTGGTACTTAATCTTTTATATAATTAATTATTCATGTACGTATGTTTTACCTTCCCCAAATGGCTGTTCTCAGAAGGTAGGAGTTATCCCTTATGTTTCCTTTCCTTGCAGAGTTGCTAGTCAGCAAGAACTCAAGAAATACTTGTGAAAGAATGGATTAACTTCTTGTTTGTTTTTATTTTTCGTAGGGTACAGACACCCTTCACCTGCCATTGTTGCAAGAACAGTCAGAATTTTGCATACACTACTAACTCTGGTTAACAAACATAGAAACTGTGATAAATTTGAGGTGAACACACAGAGCGTGGCTTACTTAGCAGGTAAAGACACAAAATAGACAAAATTAATCTTACCGCATCTCTATCTAAGGATTGCCAAAATGACACACACCTGTCGGTCCTTCAGCTGGCTGCTTGACAGGGTAAAGAACTCACAATCTGGGCCTGTGGTGGTGGTTACAATTTTGAAAGTTTTGCCAAAACATTTTTCCTTATAAAAGAATTTGCATTAGAGTCTGAATGTGTTCCCTTTGTCATCTTTGGTCCGTTTGGCACTGCATGGTTCCCTGTTGTCTGTCATAAAGTCTGAAAGCCTCAGCCTAGCATCCTGGGCCCTTCAGCCCCTCTCCTAATTCTGCTTTCTTCCCCTAAATTTCATAAGCCCCATTTTTTATTAACTCTCCAGATGGATGGGCTAGTTTAAGCTCATCTACTTGCCTTTCTGCTTCTTTCATATGCATTCGTGATGCCATTTGCTTTACCTAGAACATCTGCCCGGCTTTGTGTTTCTTCACTCAGCAACACTTAGCACTTATGTATAATACAGTTCTTGAATGTAGTTGTTCAGTGGAAAGTGCTGATTCCCAGTTTAGCAGACTACAGTTTGTGGCAACTTTTGTGTTTGAATCATTTGACCTTGGGCAAATCATCTAATATGTCAGAGTATTTTTCTTTGTCAAAAAATGGACCTTATAGTACCTGTCCTGCCTACTTCCTGTATTTGTTGAGATCAAATGTACATTAAAGCACTTGAGAAATAGAAGGTTCTTTTTTAAATCTCCATATATTTCATGTTTACATCTTCCAAAGCAGACCATGAACCCTTTAAGGAAAGTCTGCCATAAGTGGTTTATACCCTTCACACTCTCCAGGGCTCTTTATCTGCATGTCTAATAGCTATTATCCTCTTCAGGAGGTGGTAAGAAATGTATCCTGTTTTAAGTCACACTTGGAATTTGTTAAATTTTCTAACCTTCCTTCTTTTTCCTTTTAGCCTTACTCACAGTGTCTGAGGAGGTTCGAAGTCGCTGTAGCCTAAAACATAGAAAGTCTCTTCTTCTTACTGATATTTCAATGGAAAATGTTCCTATGGATACATATCCCATTCATCATGGTGACCCTAGCTATAGGTCAGTGGCCTTCTTCTCCCATGATTACATAATTATAATCAGGTTTCAGTTTTCCATGCTAGGAGAGGCAAGCAGCAAGAGTAGTCCAGAAGGGAATATATAGGGGGAAAGATAATCTAGGAAGAGTATATAAATCAAAACCCTTCTTATAAATGTACAGTGTTCTATGTGGATTAGTAGTAGGACAGTTCCTCTAAGCTAATCATTCTGTTAACATTAGTTTGCCTCTTTTAAGCACAAACCAGTTGAGTAATGAAAAGAGATGATCTTGAAATCACTGGGTTGCAAGAAAGGGCCTAGGAAAAACTTCCATGGAATATGAGCAACATCACATGCTAAATGATGGAAAGCTAAGCTGTACAGATTTGTGCAAAGATATACATGCCACCACATTTGCATTTACTTTTATCACACTAACGTTATTTAAGAGTTTTCTAGAGTACAGATTTAGATGATAAGATAGTCACATTATGACCACTGCTGTATGTGGTCTTGGGTAGCATATTTTTCACTACAACATGGAGAAATTATATGAAAATGTCATTATTTTGGAGACTTTCTATATTTTCAAATTAAACAAAAGTATCTAAGTTTTAGGTATAGTGTTGAACATAGGGAAATAATCTTGGATCTGTAAATCTTATACCATTCAATTTATCAACATTCCACTTTTGGATTAAAAAGCCCTCCACAACTTCCCACTGAGATTTTAACAAAGTATGTAAAATACCTTTTCCAGGTATACTTGGTTTTCCATAGTCTTATTCTTCGGTCATTCCTTTATTATATTTCTTTGAGATATGCCCTTCTTGTTATGAAAAGGAAAAAATTAATTTGCTTGTGTTCCCTTGTCAAAGTATAGTTGATTTTCTTGGTTTTTAAACCAAGAATATAGTTGCCTGTTTAGACTTGATTTCCCCAATTGAAAAATCAATGCAGTACAATTCTGCCATGCGTCGGTGAGCACCTACTGTGTACAAGATTCATAGCAAGAAAGTAGGTGCTAAGGAGAAAAGTGCTAAAAGAGAATAGTGCTAATTTTTAAGAAAATTTCCCGAATAAATGAGAGAAAGAAGGAAGGAAGGAGGCGATTTCTTAGACATGCACTAAGAGTTTGTACCCTAAAGCCCTTGAAAGTGCAGTTTTAAAATTAAGTGATTGCTATCATTGGGAAATAGGACAGCCAATTAAGAGGGGCAAACAGTGGTTGTCTTTGTCACCGTGTCACTTAATTCTTCTCAATTGTTTAAATCTCTCAGGACACTAAAGGAGAACCAGCCGTGGTCATCTCCCAAAGGTTCTGAAGGGTACCTTGCGGCCACCTATCCAACCGTGGGCCAGACCAGTCCCCGAGCCAGGAAATCCATGAGTCTGGACATGGGGCAGCCTTCTCAGGCCAATACGAAGAAGTTGCTGGGTTAGTTTACCTAAATGATACACAATTTTTTATACTTATTTTTTTTAATGGTCAGATACTTTCACTCTTGGAAAATTATTTGAAGCTGTTCAAAATTATCAAAATTTCCCATTTTGATATAGCAAAGCTTTTGATGCCAATTATAAGAGAGTTTGATAGGTCAGTTAAGCCATATCAGTTGAGACAGAGGAATGAGAATGGGATCTTGAAACAGTTTTTTTCTGATTCTTAGATTAAATACTGTGGTTGTCCTTGTCCTTCGTTCTGTCTTGGCCAAGCAGTGGAGAAATGGGAACAGGAGAGACGTTAGCTACTCACGAGAAAGGAGGCATCTTGCTGCACTCAGGTGCAGGGCTTTAACAATATATTTTCTCAAAAGTACCATCTGAGAGCAGACTACATCAATACACTATGAAGCTGTAATAATACTTTTTGCCATCTTTTCTTTTAAAAGACAATAAAGTAAGATTTTTTGATTAGTGTATTTTTTTATTTCTATAAGAAGATATGATTCTTGAAAGTTAAGATTGCTCAGTTACGTCAGCATTTGTCAATGAGAAGTACACCTAAAATTCTGTGAGACCCTTTCCCTTTATAAAAACTGGAAGTAAATAATGAGAGAGCTCACTGATCCCACCTCACCACAGAGGGAATGCAAAGATGCTCTTAGGCAACTTTGGCTAAAGTTCTCATTGTTACTAGAGTACTTCGAGATCCATATATCAGTGACCAACACTATGAATGGCTCAGTGGGTTTCGGTTATCCATACAAGCATATTTTTATATATCTTCGGGTACTAGGACAATGTCTCTGTTCATAAGGGAAGTAGTGAGCAATGAAGTGTGAAATAAATAACCTGCCAGTAAGCCATGAAAGAAACTGAAACCATGAACGTTAATCACTGTTACTAGTCACTTAGGGTTTCTTTCTGTTTATGCTTTGTCACAAAATAGTCTTCTAGGAGTTTCCTGGTTACTTTGTATTTTGTAGTTCTGGATTTTCATGCTAAGGAAGTTATAAATGAAAAACTAACTTCAGAGAGAATGTTCTATTGAATTCGTTCAGCCCATGTGCTAGGTGAAAAATTATGGTCTCTGCCCTGAAGAGCTCATAGTGTGGTGGGCTAAGACTTACAATCAGCTGATTACAACAGTATCCATAAGTGCCATTAAAGTAGCATGTCTTGCAGAGGGGAACCTGAGAATCTGGGGAAATTAGGAAAAGCTGCAGAGAGGTGGTAATATTTGAACTGGGTCTTGAAGATTTAATACATGCTTGCCTGACAGACGCAGGATAAGGAAGGTGAGCATGAATAAAGAAAAGTGAGGAATAGGAAACGAGGCTAGCAAAGGATTGGAAGTAGGTTGCAGGAGACTTTGTATGCCATGTTCAGGAGCTTAGCTGTCTTTCCAGCAGGGATTGTTAAGTAGGGAAGGAACATTACCAAATTTTGTTTTTAGGCAAGTTTTTCTGGCTCCAGCATGGAGAAATTGGAAGAGATGTTTGACAAGGGGACTGTATAAGAGATAGAGCATCCAAACAAGAGAGGGTGTGGACCTCCACTAAGGCAGGAACAATGAGAGAATGGAGAAGAGAAATCAGGTTTGGGGTGATGTGTGAGGTGTAGAGCAGACGAGACTTAGTACAAGTCCCAATAATCCATTTTCGGTACCTTAAATAGAGAAAGGGATTTCACGTAGAGTGATATATGCTAGAGACTCAAAGCCAAGTGGAGGTGCTACTGTACTACTTGCCATTTTTAAAGCATCTCTCAGGAGATCTATTATTTAGTACTTTTAGGCATACAAATATTGTTTTCAGAGAGTGAAGAGTTAAAATCAAACTTTGATCTTGCCTAGTTTGGAAAGTTTTCATATGTTAATGACTAATTCTTGCCACGAGCAGAATTTCTTAAATTGAAAAAAAGCTGTTCAGACATAGTTGATCTTTGCTACTGAACAGTGCATACGCCCGTGTTCATCATCAAATATTGTGCTTGATGATGGAGCTTGGTTTACCTCCAGTGTAATGAATGTGATCTCAGTCTAAAGTGGACCAGTAAGATACATCCTGTCCTGAGATGCAAAGCCATGGGGCCAAAATTCCTTGACAAAATGGAGAACAAAGGAGAGAAACTCTGCCCCAGGGATATATTTGAGCTTTCTTTGGGTCCTTAAGTGAAAACTTAAACACTTGATGTCCAAACATTTTCTTTTTAGTATAATCCTATTCACAGACACTGTGGTTAATGAACTGCCATATTCTGTAACTTTTGTTTATAGGAACAAGGAAAAGTTTTGATCACTTGATATCAGACACAAAGGCTCCTAAAAGGCAAGAAATGGAATCAGGGATCACAACACCCCCCAAAATGAGGAGAGTAGCAGAAACTGATTATGAAATGGGTGAGAAACAGAGTTAATAATTGATCTAGATCATTGAAAATAAGGTGGGAGAGCCATATTTGCTTTCCAGCCATTTCTTAGAATCTTGAGGATGAAATGTAGACGCATTTGCGCTTTTTCAGAAGATAAGCTATACAGTCCTTAAAATGAAAGTAATCCTGAAACCTGTATAAAAAGTAATCATATATATGATATACAGCATTGTGAACAGCCAGCTAGAACTTTTGTATAGGTGACTATTAATTCTGTATGTTTATGTTGCTGTTTTAAGTGCCTACTAAAAAGCTATTGAATTTTAGAAGTAACATTAAAATATGTTAGGTGAAGTGGTATTTAGTGTATATGTTCGGTTAATACAGCTGATCGTCTTAATCCATATCTTACTGCAGAAACTCAGAGGATTTCCTCATCACAACACCCGCATTTACGCAAAGTTTCAGTGTCTGAATCAAATGTTCTCTTGGATGAAGAAGTACTTACTGATCCGAAGATCCAAGCACTTCTTCTTACTGTTCTGGTAAAGTTTTTGCCTTTTGGTAGTGGTGCGGGGGAGGGGGGTTCCCCTCAGGTTTGTATTCCAGTATACTCTTAGGAGACCCTTAAACATTAAAAACATGAAAGGAAGATTGTCTTCTGCTTCTCACCAGAACATATAGCAACTCAGCCACAAAATAAAATGTATTTTGTTGACTTTTTTGCCCTTTGGCAGGCTACGCTGGTAAAATACACCACAGATGAGTTTGATCAGCGAATTCTTTATGAGTACTTAGCAGAAGCCAGTGTTGTTTTCCCCAAGGTTTTTCCTGTCGTGTAAGTATCTCCTGTTTGTGTTTAACTTTTGTATCTGTCTTGAAGTCGTATGTTTTATAAAAGCTTAGGAAAAGTATCATCCAATAGTGTTCACTGGTTGTGGGGAGGGGAATGTGAGACAGTATGATAGAGGTTTTAGCTTAGAGACAGTGGGTTTAGTGGGGGCTAAGACTAGTTTTGGCCTATTAGGGAAAACATTTTTTTTATCTTGTCAATTTTCTGGGTTTTTTTTAAGATTTTATTTATTTATTTGAGAGAGGAAGAGGGAACACGAGCAGGGGGAGAGACAGGGAGGCTCCCCATGGAGCAGCGAGCCCAATGCAGGGCTCGATCCCAGGACCCTGAGATCATGACCTGAGTGAAGGCAGATGCTTAACTGACTACTGAGCCACCAGGCGCCCCTCTTGCTGATTTTCTTAAGTGCTTCATCATGATGAGCATTGTTCATTTCCTCACTTAGGAGCAAACCATTAGACGCTTTATGTACCTGTTTTGGTTTCTTTTGTGGTAGAGCTTTTGTATTTATCCACAGCTGAGTGAAAACAAAAAACTTTCGATACAGGAGATGAATTTTTATTCTCTCTTAAGAGCTAAGATCATATTACCCTCAAATTATTCAAATCTCAATAACCCAAAGAAGCTTGGGAATTCCTATTCCTGATCTAGGCCTTCTATGTGGTATCATTATTTCCTTATTTTTGTTTGATCTCACTTTAGAATTTCAGAATTTTACATAGTTGGCTCTGGGTTATTTCTATTAATAGAGCACGACCAGGTTAGACATAGTTAGTTTCCTCTTACTTTTTAATTAGATCATATATTCCACCCCTCCACACTAATTTTGCTTTCCTTAATCGATCTGATTCAGCATTTATTAAACATTGATTGATATTAAATTTAGTTTTAACTGCCTGGGCACATACCAACAGTCAGCAGAAAGAAATGGTCCTAAAACATACCAAGTGACAGAAGCCAGCCTTGTCTTGAGCAAACAGTCACCATATATAATTAAAAATGGCTATGTGACAGTACCAGTTGTTTGTTTTTACCATATTTTTTTGATGATTAAAAATAACAAAAGGGCACCTGGGTGGCTCAGTTGGTTAAGCACTGGACTCTTGATTTCAGCTCAGGTCATGATCTCAGGCTCTGCATGTCAGGCTCTTTGCTTGTCCCTCTCTCTCTGCTCCTCCCCCTGCGTGCTGCCTCACACATGCTCTCTCTCTCCCCCAGTAAATAAATAAATATTTTTTAAAAATAAGAATTAAAAAATAAAAACAACAAAAAAAGGACAGACCAAAAAAATAAATTCATACATTTATTTATACAAAATTTGAAAAAACACCAGAAAGTAAAAAACACTCCTCTCCCTTCATTTTTATCACATTGTACTGGGGAATATATGATGTTTTCCAGTGTATATTTTCCATTTAATTTTCCTTTAAAATGTTCTTGTGTTTACTTTTTGTTTGTTTTTGTGTAGGCACAATTTGTTGGACTCTAAGATCAATACCCTGTTGTCATTGTGCCAAGATCCAAATTTGTTAAATCCAATTCATGGAATCGTGCAGAGTGTGGTGTACCATGAAGAATCCCCACCACAGTACCAAACATCTTACCTACAAAGTAAATCAGTGTCTCGGGAGGAGGATGATTGATGAACTTGCTAGCATGTGCACTGTTACAGAATCACCAACTAAAGAATTCCTTATAAGGATTGGGGTTATTCATACTTCTCTCTCCATATGCCATTTTTTACTCTTTTCATTATGTGTTCAATAAGTAACCGGCTTACAATTTCTTAAGATTTAGTTATGGTTTTGTACTGAGTATGTTTTATGAGTTTTAGTCTACTCTGACATTCATTCTGAAAAAGTGTTTTCAGTGTGTGTGAGGTTTTAATTTTTGTCATCAACCATATAACTTACTTAATTTCTGTTAAGATTAAAAGAGTGTTGTGCTTATTATAAGAATAACATTTGGTTTGTTGCAGGTTTTGGTTTTAATGGCTTGTGGCGGTTTGCAGGACCCTTTTCAAAGGTAAGAAAAATCTGTTTTTCTCTATTGATAAAATGAAAGTTTTTATTCATATTAGTGTGCCTGCTTTAAGAACACATAGTATGCTGAAAACCAGAATGATGATTCACGATAAACACATGTTATTTTTATAAAATGTTTTCCACCACAAGATTCTAAGAGGCAGCACCTTTAATAGGTTTATGTATCAGTTTTTACAAAAAAAACTCAGTTCAATTTATGCTTGACTTTTCAAAAGGGTGTGATAAACCTCTGTAAAGTTTTCTGCTCTCAGTCACTTGTGTGTTCGATGATCGTAATGCATACACTTAGGTATCTTGTAATTAGGAAGGAGCATGACCTATGGTTAAAATCTACCTCATGACCCAAAACTAATATAATGTTATATGTCAATTAAATCTCAGTTTAAAAAAAAAAATTACATGATGAAAAAAAATTTCCTCATGAGAACATTTTTCCTTCTAGCCTATTGGATTAGATTCATTTTTATCCGGAATATATCCTATTTGTTCATTTTTTTTCTTTGATTGGCATTAGTTGATATAGTGCTACATAAATGTGTTTTTAATTATTCTCTCTATGTATGGTCCCTCCAGATGGATTGAGATTCCTTGAAGGCAGGACTTCTGTTTCTTCCCTGCACAGTTCCTAGTGCAGTGTTTTAGATACAGGGGTGCTAAGTCAAGGTGAATTATCTAAATCTTATTCTAGTTTTAAGAATTTGGTATTTAGTTTTTTATTTTGTTCAGTTATTACTGAACATCTCTTGATATGCAAAGGCTATCATTTAAAAAATGGGCCTGAATTCCTAGAAATATGTATATCTTGCAGGAAGGTTTGTAGTTTGACTGCCAGTAACCCTCTGCCCTTCGCAGTGCTCAGCTGGGCTCAGTCGGTTGAGTATCTAAATGGCAGCTGGTATGATGATCCTCTGCTCATTTTCTCTGTTTTGGAAAATTGACTTGACATCATTGCTGATGGTTTTATTGTCTCAGGATTAATTCAGTCTTTGCCTTTGCATGGCTTTCAGTAATTGCAGGTTCATCTGGAAGCTCTAGGTGTAAGCTGAAGAGTTCCCAGTTCTAAGTCCCATGGTAGTCTAGAAATACTATGCCACCCCTTTTTTTAATGCTCTCTAGTACAAAAGAAGAAAAACAGTAAATTAAGCCCAAAACAAAAATTGAGTTAATCTTTTTTGGCTTCAAAGGGGATTTACAGAAAAAAAGAATGGAGCTAAAATAATTTCCTATTTTCCATTACAGCAAACACAAATCCCAGACTATGCTGAGCTTATTGTTAAGTTTCTTGATGCCTTGATTGACACGTATTTGCCTGGAATTGATGAAGAAACCAGTGAGGAGTCCCTCCTGACACCCACTTCTCCTTATCCTCCTGCAGTGCAGAGCCAGCTTAGTATTACTGCTAACCTTAACCTTTCTAATTCCATGACCTCACTTGCAACTTCCCAGCATTCCCCAGGTTAGTAAATGTAATCTTTATATAAATTTGAGCAATAATATTAATATACCAACATCAGGAATTCCCTTGTTATCAGGTTATAGTAAATTTTGCTCCTTTTTATCATGAGGTTCATCTTACATTTCTTCTTTACCTTATGGCTGACTTGAATTTTGTTATTCTGTAAAGCTTTCTACTTTCAAACAGTTACTCATAAGATAGTGAAATGTTTAGAGTGTTCACATACTGTTCTAAGGTTGATAAGTTTTTAGAGTTTGGGCAGGAAGAGCAGCCTCTAAGGTACCTTACCCTGTAAGAGAATTAGAATTCCCTTACTAGATACACTAGCCTTGCCCTAAGGGCTTCTATGTCTATGGTACAGCATACTGTATCCAAAAAATACACAAATTATGGTAGTACCCCATGTCCCTGTTGCCAGCAACAACTCAACCATCCAGAGACCAACCTGAAAATCTAGGAAAATCAACAACCAGAGAAACGTCATCTCAAGTAAATAACATCTTAAAGCATACAAGCGTATTCCTTACCACGGAGTCACTCTTAGCTCCACATGGGAGAAGTATGCCAATGCAACATGCAACTAAGAGGTGGATACACTGAGAAATAATAGCTAATAGCCTGAGTAGGGCTGAGAGACACAAGATGGCGGAAATGGCAACCTGTAGGCTTCTAGGCTCATTCAGTGTCAGAGTGAATGGTTTCCTACAACTCTGGTTGACCCTAGAGGTGTTATTCATTGCAGAGCTGATGCCATTGTATGTGGTGATGACAGTGGGTAGTGAGGGAAAACTTCCCTGTGGTCATGTTTTCCATTCAGAACGATACCCTTCTAAAATGGTAAAAATTTTAAAAAGGTTTTGTGTTTAAAGTTCCATTATCTGAAAATTTTACTTATGAGGCACCGATGTATAGTTACTGTACATCGTTCTGTTTTAGGTGTTAACATGGATTTTCTTTTTAAAAGTCTAGTAATGTATTACAACTGTTTTGTGATGTTCAAGACACATAAATAGAATCCCCGGTTTATAATCCCAATTTTGCATGAATATTGAAACATAGTTTTGAAGGCCTGAAGAATTTGGCAAATATAATACCCAATTCATATTACAAATGCTTGTATTAAAATAACTATATTCATCTGTTAAGCTTTCATCAACAACAAAGCTTTGGTCAGCAGAGGAAACAAATTGTTTGGTCCAGCATTTATTTATCAATCCCCTTACCACACCTAGTCAGATTCTTTTTTTCCTCCAAGAAATAAGAGAAATCTGGCCAGCGTTTCCTCTGCATATAACCATGTTCATTTGCCCTCTGTCACTTACTCCCTAGGACAGTGTTTCTCCAACTGTGATCCCAGACCAGCATCAGCATCATTTGGGAGCTCACTAGAATGCAGATACTAGAGCCCCAGCCCAGACCTCCTGCATAAGAAACTCCAAGAGTGGGGTCTAGCCAGCAGTCTGTTTTAATAAACACTCCAGGTGATTCTTATACACACTAGAGTGTGAGAAGCACTGCCCAAGGGTATGCCTGTGATCCTGCCCCATTATCAGCATTTCAACCATTAAAGCCAAGGAAAAACTTAAAATGTACTTTCTTCTAGATATTGCAGCCACTGAACTCTTTCCCCCGCCCTCCCCGCCTCCAAATCTTGGCATTTTGGAGCTAAGGAGGACTGTAGAGATCGTTTAGTTCTGGGCTCACCGTGTTGAGTGTGATGGGGAAACTGGGGTTTAGAAGAGCTAAGGTAGTTGCTTTATCACACAGTCCTTATCCAGAACCGGGGCCAGTGCTCTTTCTACAACAGTCATCGCCTTCCATATCTGTGATCTGTCCATCAGCTTTCTTCCCTTCCTTTGTGTCCCTGTTTCTTTGATTTATTTGTTTATGCATTGCTGTCTCATTACTTCCATCTGCCTTACCCTAAGTCTACCACTCCTTTTTTCCACAGAGCTCTCTGTTTTCTGCATTACTTGTTCTTTATGATGTTAGGGACAATTAGAAAATTCATAGACTCTGTCTATATTTGCCCTCTTGTTTTTAAAAGCTTGGTTATTTTAATCAAACTTTTGCCTCTTGGGCGACTAAAGTGGTGTTAAACCTGTCAAAATGATTGTTTTTTGTTTTTTGTTTTTTAAGATTTTATTTATTTATTTGAGAGAGAGAATGAGAGAGAGAGAGAGCATGAGAGGGGGGAGGGTCAGAGGGAGAAGCAGACTCCCTGCCGAGCAGGGAGCCGGATGCGGGACTTGATGCGGGACTCGATCCTGGGAGTCCAGCATCATGACCTGAGCCGAAGGCAGTCGCTTAACCAACTGAGCCACCCAGGCGCCCTGATTATTTGTTTTTATATTAACTTTTTTTTTTTAATACCCAGACTAATTGTTAGGGAGATTTCTGCCCATCTTTGCCCACTGATGGAGACCATAAAATAACCAGGTTGAAAACAAAGGTAGCAGTACGGGTCCCCTTGCTAGTTGATTACTTGCTTATATCCTGTGTTGATTGTTTAAAAAAAGAGTCATATCCTGCGACCTCTAATTTAGAATTGTTTCTAAAAATCAGAAAATAGTCTATGTGGTTTTGGTTACAGTTTTAAACCAATTGGGTCACTTCTAGTAGTTCTTCAGATGGCTGCTTGAATAGACGACCACAGCCTGGAAGCCTTTGACTATTCTCAGAGGAAACTGAAGCTTTAAAAGCAGTAGAATTAATTAAGTAGAATCATGGTGCTCAGCATTTCCTGGTTCTGAATTGCAAATTGTGTGTCCTCGGTTTGCCAGGTTATTTTACTACATGTTTTTGGAAAAAGGGTTTATCTTTTCAATAGTGACTTCACTCTCATATGAAACAAACCCATTTGTATCTCTAAATTGTGGGCTTATCTCTATGAAAGGATCCTGATTTATCTATGTATCTAATTACTGTGCTTTTGCCATTTGCTATTATAGAATACCTCTTTAGAGTTAATACTTCATTTGTAATTAGGTATACTGCTTTTTATCTTTAGCTACATGTAATCTTATATTCCTAGCTCCTCAGTTCTTTATGAAGCTGAGTTTGCTGATATCAAAGGGCGGAAAGAAGTGATGAATCTTATTCAGATTCTCAACTCAGCCTAGCATTTCAACTTTGCTGTTTGGCTGTATAAAAATCAAAATAGGACCCTGTCTCCACTCCCATCAGCCAAGTCCCATGCAGAAGTATTTATTTATTTACTTATTGCTTATTTATTTTTAAAGATATTTATTTAGAAAGCACACAAGCATGGGGCAGGGGCAGAAGTAGAGGGAGTGAGAAAGCAGACCCCGAGCTGAGTGCGGAGCCCGACGCAGGGCCTCTGTCCTATGACCTCGAGACCTAGACCCGAGCCAAAACGAGGAGTAAGATGCCTGCCCAACAAACTGAGCCACCCATGTACCCCCCCAACCCCAAGCAGAAGTATTTAAGGAAATTTCAGGGGCACCTGGGTGCCTCAGTTGGTTAAGCATCTCCCTTTGGCTCAGGTCTTGATCCCAGGGTCCTGGGATTGAGCCCTGCGTCAGGCTCCCTGCTCAGTGGGAAGCCTGCTTCTCCCTCTGGCTCTTCCCACACCCCACCCCCACTTGTGCTCTCTCTCGCTCACTTTCTCTCTCTCTCAAATAAATAAATAAAATCTTTAAAAAAAAAAAAAAGAAAGAAAGAAAGAAGGAAAAATTTCATGTCACTCCCTGAAGTGGAGCACAAATGTGGCTTGCCGTCAGATTACTCAACATTCTGTGCCCAGTCTCCCGAGCTTTAAGCAGGTGAAAGCTCTGTTGCCCTATGTCAAAAAGCAAAAGTCACTGATCTGCATAGAGCACAACTCTGCTGCAGACTTTCCTTGTCAATGCAAGACTCTGCTTACTAGGTCTTTGGTACTTAGGATCAGCCACTAAGCTGTATTTTCTTTTTGGTCACCAACCAGCATTCTGTGCTGTCAAATCAGCTAGATAAGAAAGAGATTCATGAACTCCCTCCCACTCCCAAGCATTAAACCTTACTTAAATAATGTAGTACTTTATTTTTGGGGGGTAATTCATCAGCCACCAGCTTTTGAGGAAGTGTTGGTCACTTATTTACATAAAGCAATTGTCTCTGAAAATGCATTCTTCTTGACATATTATCCTAGCTCACTTGTCTATCCCCTTAGCACAAGGAGGATTGTTTTCTAAATCTGTATTTTAAAATGTGTAGATGACTATCTTCTGACTCTCTCCCTAGTTGAAATTGAACTTGGCATCAGTGGGGCTGTCAGTGGAGTTCAGTGCATGTAAAATTGTATTAACCTTTTAGCCAAATGAACATAAAACTCTGCCTCTTCAGATTTTCCCAAATGTCACTAAGAGAACCCTGTAGAGAATCCATAAAATTTACTCTCTGACATATAAGAATATTCCGAATTGATTTTGTAGTCCCCTGTTAGGTCCAGGGTAGCTGAGCTGGACATGAATGGAAGAACCAGGATTAGAGCTAGAAAAACCAGGCTATCCACTTAAAAATACTGTGTGTTATGGCGCTCTCTTTTGCTTAAGGCCAAGCCATGAGTGGTCCTCTTAGGTAATGAGCAAGGAAGCCTTTTTAAAGCCATCATTCTGAATGCTTTATAACCTCACATGCAGTCTCCCTGCATCCTCTACATGTTAAAGAGCAAATATACTAGAAAAAGAAATCCAGTTGGAATTATATGGACTTAGTACTCATTAGGAAATTAAATAGTGAAATGGAAATGTATTAAATTTTAATTTATACTCTGCCAAGGTCTCCTAATGTTTTTCATACTGTAATTTAATTCAATAAACATTTGAACCACCCATTTTGTATGTGTACATTAGGTAATCTGGGACACTTAAAGATGAGAGAGACCCTGGTCACCAAAGACTTGACAGTTTTTGCCTATGGATCTCAGTATTGGGTTTTGAGCTAAAGTTTTTACTTCCTTCTAACAAATTCTACGTGTATGCAAGGTCTTTGATTTAAGT